AAACAGTTGATTGTAGCTATTCAAATTAGGCGATAGATCCTAACAAGTTTTAGTGACAGAAATTAGCCCAAAGTCAATCTTTAGGCCTCATAATTCATCTAAATAACTATAAACTTATCATTTAAGAAGGAATTAAGTGGTAGTAACGTGTACACCTGGCTTAAATTAAGTTAAACGTTTCTCTGTTCTGTTAACACTTTGATTTTACAAATCGCATTTACCTAATAAAATGATCAAAGTCACGTAAGTGCTAGATTTATGGAGTTTGGTATTTGCAACACTGGTTTAGACTAAATTTAGACGAAATAATCTCCACTGTATAATAATAATAATATTTATACGTAATGCTAGAAATTAATGCGACTTTATAACTCTATATAAATATTTATATTAAGTTCCATTTATTAAGAAATTCATCATAATATAGTCTGACTGATGAAACAGAATAAGAAGATTAAATGTCAAATCAAAACAACATTAAGGCATTTTGACTAAACATACAAATATAATGTAGTATATCAATAGATAAATGTTTGGCTTCTTGATAAAAAACCACCTTGAAAATGAATTATTCTCCAAAGCTAACCAAGTTATTATCTACACTACATTTCAAAGTCAATAATACAATAAGTAGGCTTGTTTATTTGTTCTAAACAAAAAACTAGTTTTACTTACTCCTCAACTGTTCTTCAATTGTTTGGATTTTTGTTGATTCAGGAGTAGTTTCTTGCACTGCAGGTGATTCAGTATCCGTTAGAAGAGGCTTTATTATAGGTATGCATATTTTTTTCGTGGTAGATATTAAATCAAAGATAAAATTTGAATGAAAAAATTAAAAAAGATGTTTTTTTAAATAAAAGAACGAGAAAAAGTCATCCTGGTTGGAATTCAATACTTTAGAATTATAATTTGATAAACTGGTAATAATCACACAGAAAAAGAGACGATTATTATCAGGTTACCGTTTCATTTATATAGTCATAACTAATATTTAAATCTTTATTAAAACTTACCTTTCTGCATAGGATAGACAAGATAAAGAAAATTTGATTAATAACTGAAAACATATGTTACATTGTATTTAAATTAAAATTAAACTACTACACTATAAACACTACTACTGATAATTACAATATAGCTAATACTGTAAACTAAAAATTTGAATGAAAAACTGAAACTTTCTACGGAGTATTGAATAGAAATTGAGTTCATGTACAGTAACTAAGGCGATTAAATGATAAAAGGGCACTTATTAGTAAGTAGCTTCAAGATGATTCACTGAAAGTTTTAATGAATATCTATAACTAATGAATCTTAATTATATTAGGAGTGAAACATACACTAATGATGTCATTTGAAAAAAGTTGAAAACGTGGATTATATAATACTGAAATCATGATTTAAAAGTAAAAGTGGTCATCACGACACCAGGACTTTCTGAGTTTGAGCTCATGAGGAGTGAAAAGTGTGCTTTATTAATAAGTTATGAGATGAAAGTTATTTACTGCTATCTAGTTTTCAGTGGCTTGCTTGCTGATATAAGTCTCTGACAAAAACTATCTTGAAATGAAACACTTAATTTATAAATTAGTGTGTAAAAAGTTTGCGAAGACTGCTGAACTTAGCAGTTAATTTCACGAAGCAATCCGAGTTACACAACCATTAAAAACCAGGAAGCTTTGGACAATTCCTTCTCTGGAGTAACGAACTGTTCAGTAATAAGCATCCATAATCACACAGAAAAGCGATATTATCAATTGGCCGAAATTAAACATATAAATCTTTTGACGCCAACTCGATAGTCTAAAGCTTAGGCGCTTCACCTCGAAGCCAAGAGGTCATATGTTTGATGAAGTACAAATTATGTTTTGTTATGTAACATTCCTTAAATTTATTAGATTTTCAAGTTTCACTATCACATCAATAACCTGATTTAACTGTTCAAGTTAGTTACTTTAACGAAATGCTATTTATGCAGTATCAGTATAGACTGAAAAAAACAAAATAAAAAAATTAACTACTTGTCTACTTAAGTACAACATCTATCATGCACTAATTGTATACCATGTGAAACTCAGTAGATGAATTAAAATTAAGCTATAATATGAAGATGAATGTGTCAACCAATTTTTTTTCTACTTTATTCCAGTCAAAACATTGATAACAATTTCCTTAGTTCACTAACCAATACTTCATGATTCATATTACCATTGTAGAATTTGACTATAATTTAATTGTTATTATATTTTTTTTAAATAACATATGTAAAAATTTGTAAATATTTGATTTTAATAATTTTACTAAAATGATTACTTATTTTGTTTTTAACCAACAATCAATCGTTCTACATCAGGAAATCTTATTCGAAATCTAGTCGTTGTTCTTTGAAATGATTTCATAATCGCAGGATAAACACAGAACAAACCAAGTGAAATATTATTTTTGGCGCTTAGTGTTTAACAGATGTGAAACAAACTTTTGTTGCTATTCAGTTCAATAAGTTTTGATACATATGCATAGAATAAGAATCAGTTACAATTTATTAAGTACTTGGTTAACATTTTTAGTCATCAAATATTTTTCAGGCAATTCAGAGATTACGTTACAAAAATATATATTATTATTATCATGTCAGAAAAATGAAACGTACATAATATAATTAGGTTAGAGTTAACAACTGTCAACATCCGAAAATTGGAAGAAAATAATTAAATTAAGTGGAATTAATCTATTACAATAAAGTACTTATAGATCCTAGTTCATATATTTATATCATACTATTCAAATAAGAAAGAAATCTAGTAAATATTTTACTTTAAATAGTAAATAAGGGACTAAAGATTGACATGTTTTTATATCTGAACGAAGATTGAAAGGCTGGCAAGTCTTAAGACTAAACTAAGGAATATTATTATTGTTATTTTTATCATTATTATTATTACGTATATTCTCATTCTAAAACTAGATTATTATATAATTATATTCCTTCTGTCATGAGCCATAGTTGGACCTCTTGACTACTGCTATGGAATTTACTGTTGTTAATTTATCCCCATTCAACTAAATATAGTTGTTACTTTTTATGGTATGATGCGGCTTGGTCTGTCGTGTTTAAACTACGTCTTTTTAAAAGAATCAACTGAAACCTAGCTGTTGATTCAAGGTTATTAATGCTTAAACGCATTTCGATCGGTATTTTTGCTACTAATTCAATCAGAGGGCGAATATATATATATATATATATATATATATATGATAGAAGTTTCGACGGTTTTGAGACGTTTTGCCTAAGATTTCAAGTAGATCATGTGTTAGAATTAAGAAAACATAGTCCATTCATGGTTTTATCGTTATTCTGTGATAGATGATAAATTCGTAGTCGTAGTTATTGTGTAATAATTAAAAAATTTATGATAACTACGAATTGTGTATTAGTAGTCACGATATGGAATGATTCCTTCATAAATAAGTCCCGAATCCTGTCGTCGATAAAATTACTGACGTGACAACCGATATTTTTCTCCTGTCAAAATTGTGCAAAATAGAAGTTAATTTAAGCAATAATAGTAAAGATTGTTTAACAAAAAGTACAGTGAAGTGTATTTTACCTGGACTATTATAATAGTTCCTCCGTTTTTAGATTAATAAATTAAGCTACTGTGTTGATATCATGACAAACATGAACTGAAATATTAGCTTTATGTTTTTGATTATCATTCAACAACTAGAGTAACAGTAAACACTCATGTTCAAAAGGAGCTTGAATAACTCATTTGTAACACATCTACCTGTGATGCTGTACAATAAATGTTAAAAATCCCATGACGTCCACTATCCTCTTGTATATCTTTTCGATGTATGGAAGATAGAAACATTAGAAGTTTGACTCCAAGAGTGCCTACGCGGGGAAGTTGAATCCCTTCTACTAGTCGTCATACTATATTATCCCCAACAGTATAAAATCGGGACTGACGTATGAACTGGACGTCAGAGCAAAAAATAAGAATACGGCAGAGAATTTTTGAAATTCCTATTGATATATATACTTAAACAATAATAATGCTAAGCTAATAATAACGATGTTATTTCACTATAGAATCTCAAGTTATCAAGAATAAAATAATTATTTGGTTGTGTTTTAGCAATGTATAAATATGATTTAATATTTATCTGCTTGATGTAAGATTTGACTTTATTCAAATAGCTCAGAAATCAATAATCACATGTGAACTATCACAGTGCTTCAGAGATCCCAACATTCGGAAAATGCTTCTCGAAGTAAATCATCGAAAAATCTTTAATTTAAATGGTTTTTCACATCATCATCATTCAATTTAAATTAAAATATATTTTTACATGAAAATTAGATCAAAAATATGTTTTGATTGACTAAATTGAAATACAGTTGTTACATAATGCATTACATTATGCAAGTATTTAAAGCAAAAGTATATACTGTTAAATAACAAACCAATCAATTTATTCTATATTCATAGTTGTGTATTTTTTATTCATTCAAAGTGTAACTCTGTGTTTTTATCAATCCAATGAACTGAATCAATATAGTATCGCTTAATAAAACAAAACTCAAAAGTAACACAAGTTAGATAAAAAGGTCAGATGTACCATTTTAAACAAAAAAATGAAAAATGATTTCTACATAACTATAACTAAGTAACACTGAAAGCTTGATATTATTTGCTCATAACTAAAAGAATAAGCTACAGATGAGGAAAACTAGATGTCTAGATTGTGTTTTATATCATCAATGCACAGTATGTTGAAAATCGAAAGAAAATATATAAGTTGAACATTAAGGTCTTATTATTAATGTTATTATTGTTATCATAATTAATAATGATACACGCATTCAGATATACATCAATAGAAAGCAAGCAAAAGAGAAATGTTTTTTCTCAGTGTAATTTATGTTGACTACTGGTGATAGTTAAATTGAATGAAACAAAAACTAATTCAAATGAGATTTTGTTGATTGCATGCAACTAGCACAACTCTACATTATCGGATTCAGTAAATAAATAAGGATGTAAATGTAAGAAAAAAAATGGTGGAATAGTCTATATTTGCTATATAAAGAATGAATAAGAACGCAAAGTACTCTATATATATGTATATATATGTATACACGCTTACCATGAGAACTGAATTCTTGGCAAACTAGTATTAGATAGAATACATATGTTATATATATATATATATATATATATATATATATATATACATGCTCACACATATTACTGATATCTTTTCGTCTATTCTAATTTTATTACAGGGAGCAATATCTATGAGGAATAGTTTAACGCACTTATAGTACTCGAATAGAAATTTTTTCTCTTTTTGTTATCATTGTCCACTTCATTTTTGACAAATTTTTAATTTCAAAGAAATGAAATTAAAATCAACCAAACATTATTATTATCGGTTTTCCTGATCAGATTATGAATAATTGTCGAAATAATGTTAGGAACAATGATTGGTTTCGTTAATTTAATTCCCTAAATCACGTTTTTTTTTATTATTTCAGGTTACTTGAATAATAATTTTCACGAGGAAAATTGAGTACAGCGTAATCATTACTGTTTTCTAAGCTTATCAAAACTCATCTGATGTTACATATTCAAAGCAAATATCCTGTATCTCTTAGAGCAGAATTAGTAAAATTTAGAAAAATCGTAACTTTTAGTAAAAGTAGTTGCAGGACCGCCACAAGTGTTTCAATCATTTTCATCGTGATGTACATGCATAACGGACAGATAAAGTGTACATTCAGATTATAAACAGAATTTGAAAATCTTCTAGTTGATAGATACAATTACTTGATTACCAGAGTAATTTTAAATATCTATCATTTATGTATTTCTTATTAACGCCTGTACTAAATAAAATTATAGATTCTCTGATATAGATGACTATTTCACAAATGAATATAAAAGTATCGTAATTTGAGCTTTATACACAAACACAATTCAACTATATTCATAAAAATATTTATATTTCTGTCACGTAGAACATTTATTTCAAATTAGAGAAATAGTTAATTCGTCTTACCAGAAATACAATGAAAATTATTTTGATTATCTTTGAATTTGTTAGATCATTAACATGTTATTTAAGCTCATTATCAATGGCACTATTGTAAAATGTGATGTAACCAACCAGGCTGTTGGCAATATATCAAGTTATATTATAACTGTATGAAAGACTTAATACTGAAAATAGTTAATAAGCAGTAAGTGAAATTGAAGACTGATTGATACTAAATATAATTTCAAATGATGTACCACATTTAGAAATTTATACGTATTTATAAAATGGTTCTGTTGTAATGAGTTATTCATTGTCTAGCTAACATGAATTGTCCCACTTGTCTTTTTACCTTGTCACTTATTTGTCGCTTGTATTCATGTTTGTGCATGTCTACTCGCTTACATGTCTGTCTTATTTTTGTCTGATTATAAATTCCTAGTCATGCTTTATCTCTTAGAGTTGGGTCACTAGCCTTCTCCACATCACTTCATCCGTTCATTCGCCTATTCACTCGCTTGCCTGCTTTCCGGCGCTCGCATGACGATTTTATCTTATAGCGCTTGTAGTCTGCTGTTCTATTTGTGGTGTGTCAAAACTAAACGTACTCAACACTTTGTGTTCACCTTCCGATTTATAAACCGTCAGACTCTAGTTAGTAACGATTGTCTGAACGAGCTAATCACTAAGATTAAGAACATGTCAAAATCGGCCACCACACTGTTTCTAGTTGTTGTTAGCATTGTAAAAAGCAACTCAAATGATTATTTCAGTCTAAGCTGTCTTATTGGAGAAATCTTACGTAATTATTTGAAAGTTCTTCCTTAATATGTCAGGGACTCTTTGTGAGTGGTAAAGTTCCCATTTTTCCAACTATAAAAAAACATTTTGGAAGTGACTTTTGGGTTGTGGTGCAACACCCGTCAACTTTAGATCGATAAAACAGAAATCAATGCCAACGACGTTTAACTTTAGTCACGTCTGTTTACGATAAATCATTGTTAGCTGACGTGTTTATGGGCGAATAGATATTCATTTTACTGATTCTCCATTTTCGAATAAAAACTGATAACTTCATGATTAAACGAGAGAAAAAAATACATGTACTTCATTTTGTCCACTGGAATTAATTGTTTCTAAGATTTTTAAGTGAAAATGAAAATTAGTTAAATATTTGATTAACTTAAATTTTCTCCATTGTAAACAGTTTCATAGAATAAGAAATAGAATCTCAATCTACTTCACTTACCGTAATGATTGATTGTTCATTATGTGTTACTGTACATGGATCAATCGATGGTGTGCTTTGTTTTTCATCATCTAATTTTGTTTTCAAAGAAATCGGCGGGGTATTTATTAACTGCTGATCTTTCACTTGTGATCGTTGTAGAATGGGATTATTCATTGAGATAACTGATTTCGAGGTGGTAACCTTTTTACTACCGAAACCGATTCCACTTAATAAATTGGATGATTTTCTGTTTTGTTCATCGTGTTTTTTAGATTCATCAAGATTGTCGCCATCATCACCATCAATAATAGTTGCTTCAGTTTCGCTTTGTATATCAGTTTGCTTTTCACTAACCGTCGATTGCTCATTACTAGTCTAAAAAAATATATGGGATCAATTAGAGAGTTTTTCAAAGCATGTTATCAACATTTTTAGTTTTGATTCAATGTACATCCTTATCATATTTACTAAAGTACATAGAATTAATTAACAATTGCTTCCTTTTATTATTTATAGTATGTTGGACTATAATAAAAGATTATCAAGTGTATGCTCATCTACTTTTTTACCGTTTGTTATTTCTTTATTATTCAATAATTTATACAAACTTAATTCTATTAGAATAGAAACTCTAATTGTTTAATACCAGTTAATATTCAATCAGTTGACCACTGCATGTGTCATACAATGGATCTATTAGGTTATAAATAAGTGGATAGATGTTTTGAGAAAAATCAGTCCAGTCATTATTCATTATTCTCAAAATGCTTCATCAAATTTAATTGTAAATCATCATAATAATATTTACCTTTGACACTTAAAAGAAACAGCAGTATAGATTATGTACAGTTCAGTAAGTGTTAGAAAGAAAATTTTACATATCATTCATGTTTCTCATAATTAACAGTCATAAATAAACAGATTAATGAATGACTATATTGCATGAAGATAACGAATCAACTATACTGATGATTATCATACGCTCACTAGTGACTGATAGTGAAACAGAATTGTAAAGTTCTAATGATAAACCGTAACCAGCAGAGTTCAATCACGACACATGTGCTATTACCAGCTGAAAACAATGGAAGATGATCACGCTGATTGATTTAACTTAAACATCAACATCGTCGGATGTAGACTTTGTAGTGCTTACAGATTAAGCATTCGCACGTGAGACCTAGGGTATTGAAGTTGATTCCTGGTTGTAGGATCGTGATCAATCATGGCTGAGGAGCCTCATGCTAAAATGAAACGGCCATCTAATATTTCTAGGTTTTCACTGATTGTTTCAATTGAATCGCTTCGTGATTTCGAAAAAAATTTAACCACCTCTAAAGTTTTATACTAAAAATAAGTTTATAATCAAATTAAATTATATGATAAGTAGATGAAAAGTAATTTTCTGATTAGATATAGATTAAAACTTACTTTCTTCACTGTAGATATAACATCATCAGTTTTATCCTCAGAATTGGTTGACTGTTTTTGTTGTTGCTGTTGACTTATTGTATTCGAGTTTAAATTTGATTTTTCATTTAATTCATTCGATGATGGTAATAGATTTATAGTTACACCAGGCATTATAACTGTGTTTTCATCGTCATCATCATCATCGTCATCATATTCTTCTTGAATTGGTGTAGCTAATGGTGTTGCAGTTTCTAGGATTGTATTGAAATCTGCACTTACATTACTTGCCTCTATTAAAAAAAATAATCAGATATATGTATGTTTTTAATTAATATAATATGATATTAATTACGTAACTAGTTAGTTGACTAAAATAATTACATGTTTTCGTAATCATGATAGTCATTCAAACCACATAAATGCAAGGACTTTGTGATTGAAGATTATATTATGCAAAGTTTAATTTTGACAGTGTTATGCTTGTACTTTAGTTTCAATATAATTTTCATATCGAAAAAAAGCAAAATTAATTAAAGGAAGATTAAGAAAATAAAACCTTTGTCAAATCAGCCTACATAAGATTGTTTTTTGTTATTTCTCTCGACAAATGTTTTTTCAAATTTTCTTGTTCATTTATTATTCATTATAACTGATTTGATAATAAATGTGTTTCGCAGTAGTGGTTGGTTTTAAATAGTTCGAAATATAACGCTTAACCGAATACAGAGAGAGAGAAAATGTAGATTTATACAATTTGACAACTTAAATATTTGATTTATAGTTGTGTTTTTTTTTTTTAATAATAATTATTTGATGATAAATTATCTGTAAACAAACAGTCATAATCATGAAGACAGTTATTCAGTGAATGGGACTGAAATACAGAAAAAATGGTGATGATTGACCAAACATTTGCCAAAATAACAAATAGGTCCATCAAGACAAAATAAAATACAGTCATATGCCATAAATATGTGAAAATAAGTGAAAAAAATTTCAAACAAATGTAAAACTGACGTAATCACCGAAAATAACTTGATGATGATGTCATCAATTAAGTAAAACAGTTGAAGAAATAATGTTTTATTAATTATCTGGTAACTGTATCTATAATGAAAATTTGCTTAACAAATAAATCAGATCATTGTAAATTAAATATTACCATAGAATTGCATTAAGCCAATGTAGATGCAGCATTTAAAGATGTCTATCAGATTAAATTGAATTCACTAAATATTTCTAAATGTTATTTACATGCAGCAAAAGCTGTAAGAATCCTTGTATTCAGAGAACACCAACATATATTTTATTAATTTCTTGGATATATAAGCCGTGATTTTTGGATTTTCAGTGCTAAGTAATTATTGGAAGATCAATTATTCAAAACTTTATATACACTCATTTTTTATTAAGTAGTCTTTTCAAGTTTCAATTTAATTTACTGTTTGAAGAACATTGATTCAATTCGTTAGTTTTAATGCCACGTAATTATTGGTCTGGTTCAATTAGTAAATAATATTTTTAGCTGACGATGACGATGTTAGAAGCGTAGAGTTCTCCATGTTGGGCGTCTTAGTTATACAGTCTTCAGTCATAACAAAAACCACGTAGAACGAAATGGCTGCCTTCTCCGTTTACCTCTTCATGAAAATCAGCTAACTACTAAACTCTACAACATACCTCTTCTTATAGAAATGTACGTGAAAAACTAAGGGCATACGTTTGACTGAGAAAATATCAAACTTTTGGACAAAGGAAAACATGATAATTGTCGGAAAAATTCGAAAAACCTGATTTCTTTGTCATTCATCAAACAATAGACCAGTCAGAACTGACGCAATTTATCCGACTATAAGGAATAGAATTAACAATCGTGAGAGCGCAGATTATATTGGAAGCGAAAACGAAAAACCGAGATTACGGCTTTTTAGTGAAGACAATTGATGTTCAGCAATTTAGTTTTAAGTTCGAAAACCAGTTCCATATACATGTGTACATCAGTCTCGGTATCACCCTACTACTAATACCAGGAAAATTCTTCAACAATGTTGCTAAACATAATCAAAGATTACGTAGACGCCCGACTTCAATATGAGCTGGCTGGATTCCGTAAAGATCGATTGTGTACCAAACAAATCGCACAATACTACGAATTATTGTGGAACAATCGACCGAATAGAGCTCAATAACATACTGGCTGATACTATGGAGGCTTCTTCGAAACTACACTGTATCTGAGAAATACAGTCAACGTCATATAAAAGTTCGTGCATGGAGGACAGCTCATAGACTCGTTTCAGGCGAGGGTTGGTGTCAGACAAAGCTGGGGAATCCTGGTTGTCGGTATATACTCTGCAAGGGGTGACAAGCGTACGTAAGTAAGTAATTAGTGTGAAACTTATCTTCAAACAAATACACATAGGTGAAATAAATTTCAAAGTTTAATAAATGAAATTGTACTTGGTTAGTGAGTTGTAATTAACATTTATCAATCAATACGATAGTGAATCCCATACATCGTTCATATATTTAGAAAAAACGTCATAGACGTTAAAAAGTTAAAATTATCAAAATAATACATAAAATAATCTACAATTTCATACAAATAAACATATAAGTAAGTATACTAACATGCATCTAATCAATCATGCTAAGCCAGTAAATAGATTAACATATTCATGCAAGATTACAAAATAAGATATGAAACACATCTATGTAATAAAAGCTAATTGATTAATATTATTATTCAAATGATGCTTTTACGTTCATCTGTTATTCTTTATTGATATTGACTGAATGATTTTTTTAATGTTAACAAACATATCTGAAAATGGTGAGAGGAAGAGCAGCCGTTTTCGTTACGAAAGTGATATAAATAAAACTTATTTTTAATTCTAAAGTTGTAAATGGTATACTTTGAACAGTAAGCTTGCATCATAACACTTGTTCGTATTTCAGATAGAATAAATAAGATGATAGCGATCAATAGCTGCCTAATTTGTACTTTTTCACTCGAAGAATGGATGAAAGTCAATGCAATAATTAATTATGATCAATGTAGGTTTTGTTACCAAGGTTTGATTTGATAATTTTAAATAAAATGGAAATTGTGTAAAACTGAGTACAATTACAAAATTTCTGACGTTTCGTGACTCGCTGAAAGCCACTACTTATGGATAATGTCAAAATAATTCAAAATGGCCTTTCCAACTAACTATAAAGAATGATGAGAAACTGAAGCTTTACATATTTAGCTAAATCCTGCTTCCCTTAATAGGAAAGGTTCTACCATCCATCCCAGCTTTCACATCTAATTCTATTCACATTTCATAACATTATTACACATACAAATTCAACTCTACTTTTTCACATAACAAATATCACATTTCTCACATCTATTAACAGTTATCAACAAATACACAAGCATATCTCACAAAAATCACCTGGAATAACTGTTTGAAATAACTGTTACTTAATTCAACCTATTTTTCGACTATAATAAACTTTCCTACTTCGTTTCGTTACACTATTTAAACGCGTATAAATTTAATTTGTTTAGTTATTTATTCTTTAAATAATAGGCTTGAACTGAGTCATGAAATGTTAAAAAATTTTTTCCCTACTCATTGGGATATTACGAATAAACCACTATTTTTATCAGGCATCATAATTATAAGTGAAATACTGTCAATCGAAATTCCGATTTTGAAGCATGAAAGATAACAAGTTTTAAGTGAATGGTATATTAATTTTGTGATTCATTTGTATTGATAGTTTGAATCTTCTCCATTGATATAGTTCGAACTACTATTGATCAATCTCATTTGGCATATGTGCACTCCATGATGATTGCCTTGATTTAGCCATTAAATTAGAAGCGTTCTCTGGATTATACTGCTTACCACTACCCATCTCTGCTTATAATGCTTGAGATCTAATGGATATATCAAGGCAATCGGCACACAATGCACATATGTCAAATTAGATTAATGATCAATTGCAATTCTAACTATCAAACTACTAATAAAATTGTATCAAAATTCATTCAAATGCACGATCCGGTAACTGTCGGAACTCAGTAGTTAAGTGGAATAGTCGTTGGTCTTCGAAGCGAACGGTACTGGGTTCGAATCTATGAGTGAAAATCAACTCTGGAATGCGACTACGTTCATCTTATGAGTGACAAATCGGAAGGAAAGCGAATCCTGGATTTCACTGCTAGCCACTATCAATTTAAACTTATAATTTCATGATGCTTTAGGTTGTATAACTGCGTTTTACATTTTCCATCATCCACTTCCCAAAGACAAAGGTATCTATCAGACAGTAGTAGTTTACTCGTCATTCTAAGTTATATTTTACAAATACGAATATTATGGGCCTTCGGAAAGCTGAATGATAATAATTGTTTGTAGATGATAGTTCTTTTTATCTTTCTACTATCCGATACAGACAAATGGGAATGAAAATTCAACTTCAATAAAATAGAAATAAGCAACTAAACAAGTCCTAAATTATTAAGAGCAGAGGACTTGGATTATTATTATTATTATCATTATTAATTAATATGGTGAACAGTAACGATAATATTAGGCATAAATTAATCAGTTTATGCAGTGTTCTCATGAATTAATTTAACTGAAAATGTAAACTGAACAGTATATTTCACGTTTCCATATACATAAATTTTGATTACTTAAAATAGATTTCTTAGAATCATTTGGACGTTAAAAATACGTGCTTAAATTGTACATGATAAGTTGGCCATGCTTCACACTTTGTTTTGAATAAAATCGATACATCATCATACGTTCATTTGTGCTTTTGTGTAAAATCAGTTAGACAATTAGTACTTCAACACCAAAATTATTAAACAGTGTCTCGAATAAACTGTGCATAAAAATTTTTGGTAAATATGTTTTATATACATGCATTAAAATATAGAAACATTGTGTCGATACATGCACACATAAACATTGTGAATTTCCATAAAAATGCTGTACTCTTTGTTTATACGAATAAATTACAATAATAATTTAATGACAATTTTCTACATTAATTGTGAATCCATTATAATTCTACTAGTTAAAATATTTATCATAAAAAAGGGAAGGTAAACTGAAATTTAGACCATTTTTGGACAAACAAAAAAAAAACTATAATGAATGGTTAACAAGCGAAAATACAAACACTACAATACAATTTATCAAATAAAACAATAATTAAAAAGTGTCACATAAGAAAATGGTGCCACTGAATAAATATTAATGTGATGTGATTTTAACACTACTTCTAGAACTACTAGTACTACGATTACTACTAATACTAATACTACTGACAATGATATAAATAAATTGATAAATGTTTCATACCGGTCGGTAATCCTGAAAGTCCTGTAATAAATCAATTTATTTTAGTAAATCAATATACTTGAAATAATATCAAAATCAACAAAGGCCGTAATGCATATTTTGGAATGAACAGCTTTCAAAATGCTGTGAATGGGGAAAAGATACGTTATGGATGTGTATAATAAGTTTTTACAAGAGCTTTTAGTAAAAATTAGAGGATATTTATACTTACTTTCCCATATAAACAAGATATAATCATTCAGTTCTTGTTTTTTTTTATTACTTATATGACACTTTTTACTGTAGCATAGGACATGAACAAAAGTCATACTGAAGTGCGCACATTCTAATTCGAAAGTAGATTCCACTGAGAAAAACAAACACTGTTGTTTTTAGTAGCATTTTGATATTTATCAAAGCAAAAAGTATTACTACTTCTGACGAACATATATTCAACAATCCTTACAGGTGTTATTACTGTCTACGATTTGTAAGATTTGAAATGTAAGATTAAATACATTTACAAAAGAATATCTATTCAACGAATCTATTAACATCGATTAAAATCACGGCCTGCTCGAATATTTCGGCTATCTGTTTCTGAATATCAAACTATCTCGACAATTTACCGCTTTACGTTTGTTTTAACATGTCAATTAATCGCACAATCGTTTCGGGTGAGTGTATAAGAAATTTACGAGCTATTGCTTCACATGGTTTGAAAAAGTACAATCAAGGAAATCTCTATGGCTAGTAATCTGCTGGAAATAGAATGAACGTTAATAAGATGTCGATTTTTGAAATGCTTATTTCCAACTGCTGATCAGTAATTGTTTTGTTAAGGAAACTTTTTGAAATATTTCTTACTGAGAATTCCATATTTTACTAAATAAATAATGTTGAATAAAGCCATTATTATCATTATTACATACGTGTCTAACACATTAAGGCCTAATTTTGTGAGAAATTGTAATCAGTAAGCAAATATGACGTTATTTAACGATAACAATGCTGACTTATATAGTGCTAAATGATAACAACTGTACACAATATCCTAAATGGGAAAAATCTGCTAATGACAAATAATCTGTTTGATATTTAAGGGTTTTTGAATTCAAACCTCGTTTTAACTAATATTTTGGAATTATCTCGAGAATTTTAAGCCATCATTCTATGCCCCTTTGTGGTGATAAGAGACTAGAAGTCAGTTATTTCTGAATAATTTTCATTTTCACGAATGTTTTTTCCAAGAGATAAAACGCTTGTCGCATATTACGGACTTCTTTTCCCTTACATTAGTGACACTTCTTTAGGCGCTAACGTATGAAGACGTCTAAATAATTACTTAGTTTTGTTCTATCCACGGTATCAACTACTTCCGATAAGTAAATATTTCGTAACATAATTATACAATTTGTGTACTTTGATTTAAAACAGCTTTTAGTACAGATTTACATCATTCCCAGAAGTACTAAAATAAAACATGATAAATGAACATGAGTTCACATATCCATTCATGTAATCAGTTTAGATCTGGAACTTCAGTTAAGTGTTTAGTAGTTTCATATAAAATTAAAATTTAACGCGATAAAGCAAATCCATTCAGTGGAAATAAGTTTACAAACCTCTTAATCTCAATTGGGCATTCAATGGGGCGATCAAATCTTCGTTTGGACGATCTCGGCAAACATGAACATGTGAATCCAAAGTGTTTAGAACAATTTGTATAAGATATTCTATCATACCTCTAGTTCCACCGACGACGTTTGATTGTGATGACAATAGATTTGTGTTACCTCCTCCAAGGAGACTGGAGGGGGCGAATTGAGATGAACCAGATATAGTGGTATTGTTACCACCACTAGTACTGACATTGCCACCTCCTGGATTTAGTCTATTACTGTTACTTCCCACACCCGATGAATTTGCAGTTGCATTATCCAACTGTAGTTGTGTTTCACTTTCTGAACTTGTTTTGTGCATACGACTGCTGCCACTACTATTTGCGTTGTTAACGCATGATACACCTCCTCCAACTGAAGTATTGGATATTGGATTAGGAATATGAGAAGTTATGACACTTGAACTATAGGAGATACCGCTAGAAATATTCGCATTTCCTGTGAGATTACCACCTGGTGCATTGTAATCATACTGGATTAGTACAAAGCAAAAAAATATGTTATTTTATTTTGATCGCCTAATCAAAACTTATGGTAAATATGATTATTGTTTTAAGTTGATATTTTAAAATAAGAACTGTAAATTTTGACAAACAGGATAACAATATATTTCAGGAACTTTAAGAAAAACAGTTAGGCAACCATTTAGTAAGTGGTTCCCATCCGGAGGCAACTGAAATTATATAAATAAAGCTGCGGAAACAGCAGTGATATCTGCTAGTAAGGTAAACTATAAGGCTAGGAAGAAGCCGTGGATCTCAGTGGCATTTACTGAAATGCTAGATGCTCGAAAACTCATCCAGTCTGACTTTAAGTACGATGAGGAGCGAAGTCAGCCCTGGCGCAGGCTGGTAAATAGACTAAGCAATGATCACGAATAGTTATGGGTAGCGTAAGCAAGAGAGATGGAAAAGGCAGAGATGGTAGGTAATAATAGTAGACAACTGTTCCGACTTATCAAAGAAACAGGTACTAGAGATCCATCTGTTAACGAGACTATCTTGGAAAAGGATGGCTGTAGCATTCATTCTCAACCCAGGAGATTGGAATCAGTTCAACTGACCTTCAGCCACACTTTGGTTATCCCTGATCTCCAGTCAACCTGAGTAGCAAATTGATGTAAGTCCTCCGACTCTTTGTGAAGTTGGAAAGGTTATAGAAAATATAAACCGAGGGAATGCAGTGGACTCTAATAGGTTAAACCCTGAGATTCTTAAGGATGGTGGTCCAGTTTTAGCAGTGAGGTTGACTAAAATCTGGAGTACAATTTGGGAACTGGACGTAATCCCATCCTACCGGTCTCAATCACTGATTGTCTCAGTTCACAAAAAAGGACAGAAGTCTTCTTGTGTCAATCACAGAGGAATCAGTTTAACTTATATAATATCGAAAATATAGGCCTCAATAATATTCTGACGCCTAACTAGTGCTCATGAAGAGTAGACTAGAGGAAACCAGGTTGGTTTCAGACCCGAATGTGGATGTGTAGATCACATTTTCATACTATGACAGGTCCTAGAACATAGACACACGTTCAGACGCCTCACAACAATAGTATCTCTCGACTTTAAGGAGGCATTCGACTCTGTGGATCGTGAGGCTCTGTGGCACTGTCTGATATTAAAAGGTGTACCAGAGAAGTAAATTAACCTTATAAGAGCTTTCCACTGTAAAACTACTGAGAGAGAGAGCTTATGGCCAACATTCATTAGAACTGATTACTTGAACAAGATAGCTTGAAATCATTTGCAATGGCGGAGGTGCATCCACCCTTTGTGTTCTCTCAAATCCTAATCTTATGAATTCCTCATCTTTATCTTTCTAAAGTTATCTCACTGAATTATACTGGCTGAATATTATCTTCGAACCCTAATCTTGTCCATTACTGCTAATACTTCTACTATCTCTTCAACTATGTGATTTGAACTGACAGTTGCGACTCTGTGCTAATGCTATATGGCAACCCGAACTGATGTACGTACGCACGAATTCCTACATCGTAACTGACTGACTGACTGACTTATCATGACTCTACACTGATATATATGATTAATAATCATTATTAAATCAATATCAATAAAACGGTAGTGTTTTATATAATAGTACTTCAAATTAATGTTTAAGTAATTAGCGAAATGTTTGAAAGATGAAGTAAATGAAATTTCTAAAATTCAAAGATATTTAATGTATGTGAATGAATGCATTGGTATACATAGTAATAAATTGCATAATATAATACACGAAAGTTTATATAATTTTGAAAATGAATAGAATACTAATCACGATTGTATTAGCAGGAAGCGTGTTACGGTTATGCAACAAAAAAAAAGTAAACAGTGATTTTCATTACTGACAGACTTTGTTGAAGTAGATACTTATAGGTTCAGATATATCAGAAAGGCGTATGATTAGACTTAACTGTATATTTGATGAGTGGTTTGAAATGCGTTGTTTACGTCCATTTGATGCATTTTATTCTGTTAAAAATTATAGTTGACGAATAACATTCCCTACTGGAAATCTGAGATACTAGTCATTGTATGTATAGAATTTTTTTTTAGATGCTCAAAGTAGCGAACTCGTGTTAGTTGAACAAACTTTATTGGTTTGGCATTAATCAAGAAATAAGTATGAAATTTACTCACTTTATACAAGATAACTAAAAGTGTTTGCAGCCAATGAAGTCGAACTTGTGGTTCTAATAGTCTCAAGGTAAATGTTGGCGGTTGTGTATCAGTAGCATAACGTTGAGGTGATGCACAGAATTGGAGAACAACTAGAGTTTGATGTAGAATACAACAGCCCATACTAAAATTACGATCGAGTACACCAGCAACATGTGCCAAAAATGCATGAAAAACCGTGGAATTCCTATTTTTTTGTGAGAAGAAATCAAGAAAAATGTATCCGAGTAACTCAAATAATTTCATTTGCAGTGTATAAGTCAAAAATATATGAATGAAATGCATGAAACAAATTGTTAAGTATGTTTCTTATGAAGGGAATATTTGAACAGAAATGTTCGTTGATCTTTTTATCACCCTCTAATAATTAAGGATTTGACTTTAATACAATTTTCTAATTGATAAACTTGAATAAAATAGAATAAATATTGTAGCAGGATTACATGAACTGATTTATGTTGTGAATTTTCCTCAGCTACTAACAACCTTAAAGCATGATATTAATCATGAAAATGAAAAGAGTGTACATACTTCATATTAGAACAATCATGAATAGATGCAGTTAACATGGTTAGATAAAATAATATTAAGCCGAATCTACGTGTCATTGTTGACCTCATTTTCATGATTTTTCCATAAATATAATTATAAATTCTAACATCCTGATTTGTACTTCTGAGCTTTACTCAACTAGTCTAGATTACGTAAACAGTTTTCAATTTCGAGGACAATTCTACTTCCATGCTTTTCGATAATATTTATATTCTTACCTTATTAATAAGCGAACACTTGAAGAATGGTGATAATTTTATATTATCTCTACATGTTAACTGAGTTTATTCAAGACGGTTCGAATATAAAGTATGTGCACTTTTCATTTTAATGATTAATATCATGCTTTTAGGTTGTAAGTAGCTGAGGAGAATCCACAACATAAATGAGTTCATGTAATTCCGCTACAATATTTATTCTTTTTTATTCAAGTTCATAAATTAAAAAAAATTTCATTAAAATCAAGTCCTTATTTATTAGACAGTGAGCAAACCACCACACTTATTTTGGCGATCCATTTATAAAATCTAATTACAATATCTCTGCAAGAATATTTTAAAATATAAATTTTATTTTGTGAAATGAAAAACCTATTCTACTGAGAATTTATTAAATTTTCTGATATAAAATACACCATCTCATGAACAGCAGTCAATGAACCAGATCTTAGCGTGGCACTACATCTAACGATTGTCTGTTTACTCGTTCATGTCAACAATTATCACCCTTGTTCACTAACTTGCTCCTAATTCATGACTTTGATGATGGGGATCAAATTCGATTATTAAAATATTGATTGCATAAAAATGTGTGGAAATCATCATTTATTCATCAAGTTCAGTCACTGACGGACCTAATCGAAATCTACCTAAATGAGCTGAAACCTGAACAACACTCACAAATTATTAATTCAGAAATAAATCCAGCTCAGAAAGAGTATATCTTAGATGAGAAATTTAGTTCATGCTATAGTGCATTGGTTGCGAGGGATGAAACAACAAAGTCAGTGAAGAATCCTCAAGTAACTGTTGAATGAGATTAAGCCAGAGTACCACTGTTAAAACCTCAGTATCCAGCCCCACTTCTCTAATGTTCATTTGTAAGTTAAGCATACTCAACTAGATTCACTGCTAAGATCCAGCTAAGTGGCACTCACATATCTTTTGTCAAATAAATTCATGAAAGGCACAGACATTCTTGCTTACGGCACAAAAATAAATTTGCCTGCTCATGTAATTAAATATGAACCGAATAACAATCACTTTAAATCAATTTTAAGATCATCTTCAAGAATGATTTATCGTTAACATCCTCAACATCTCTCCTCGACTGTTAGCGTATTTCCAATATCCTCTTTGATAAATGAACACCCACCAAAAACTGAATCAACAGTATTCGCTACGTTTTCTTCAAGTATCTTCTGAGGAAGTTATAAACTTGACTAGCGTTTAACAGCTAAAAATATCACTCAAATAAACAATGACTAAAAGCATAAATAGATATATAAAGTTTCGTCAAATTAATTACATGAATGACCGCATCGTTTGAATGGCAATTATTTATTATTAGTTTATGAAGTATTCTGCTTACAAAATCTTTTATAGACAGGAAGGTTGTATAATACAACAACCGTAAAACTTATGTTACATTATCATTGTCTAAGCATTTCTATTTGTTTGTTCAATAACTTCTATGATGCTGATAAAAATATCGACATTTACGCAACATTCAAAATTTCTTTTCAGGATTTTTCTGAAATGTCTAATTTTGAACTTTACTGGAAATCTTTAGGGTAATTATGAAAATTGTGATTATTTACTGTAAAACATAACTCACCTCATTTTATGTGGAGGTATATCAAATGAACCATCTGTATAACCAAGTAAAAATGCTAAATGTCTTTGTGCTTTGCTTAAAGCTTTTCTATCTTTTAATTCATCTCTAGACTTGTTTGTTATATTGTGACGTCCACTACCACTACCACTACCACCACCACCACTACCACTGCTGCTGTTACCTATTCCACTACCTGCACCTCCATTCACACCACTACTAGCTCCACTATTTCCACTTGTACAACTTTCATCTAATTTTAAATCCAACTGCACTGTAGACATAAACTTGAGTAATAAACGAACCCATTGATGAAGTGTATCACGTTCATTGCCATCCAAATCTAATGCTTGTTGTATTGAACTTAGAAATTTGTTATTACTATCAATAAATTCACTAGCTTGTAGACCACCTAAGTAATAGAAAAAAAAAAGAGGTAAATGAATTCTTCATATATAGTACATCTTCCATCACAATTAAAGATGTAAATTGAAAACAGTAAAATTGAGTTTTCACTGTATATCCATTTAGGCTTTTACTTATTTGATTACTATTTCAATAATCAACTATAATAAAGTTGAGAATAAGCAACAGAATATTATTCATAAAATAATGAATCTACTGATTATCACCCTGAACGTTATTATTGATACGCATAATGACAATGTTTTTATTAGTAACTAGAAAATTTTTTTTTATAATAGGCTCTACGATTAATTTCATTAAAACCAAAATTAGGAGACCGTATTATTGACTTAACAATCAAGTATAAGATTATTAACCAAATGAGTAACCAAAAGAGTATATAACTTCAGTAAAATTATCAGAACACAAGATACTTGTGGTTTCACAATTGAATCTATAAAGCCTTGGTAGGATTGTGATGAGAACAAAAGTATAGAATCTTTTTACAACCTAATAATTCATCCAGCTTTGTGTTTGTTTAAAATGTTAGTTCTACCAACTGATTAGTTTTATTTTACAAAACATGAAAAGTATTAAGACAAAATATAAGGAAGCGTGTGATATGCGGTGTAAACTAGTAGATTTGAAATCTATATAACAATTGATAATGATACCGGTTGCTTAAATTGCATACAAAGATAAACCATGAGCATAAAAAAAAAAGACCATAAAACCTACTTGAAATATTCAGTACACTTAACTGATACAGTGCATGACGTTTGTGATTTCGGGTAAAGATTGAAGTTTTTATATTTGGAAAATGTGATGAGAAAAAAATTAAGTCGATCTAAAAAGCACAATGTCTTAATGGGATGGATATATTTCGTTCAGTTTATTCTCTCATTCACCTACCTGTCTTGAATCTTTTTCGTGTTCTCGAAAAATTCAATCACAACAAATGATAAATATAAAGTAATAAATGATAGTAAGAGAGATAGTGTATTATAAGAAGAAAAGAGAGTTCTCACATCATTTCTGCTATTAAAAATAGGTTAGAAATTATCAGGATTGTTCAAAATGTATACACATTATTCTGATAAACTCTGCATTGCGACCACACTCTTCAAAGTTATGCAAAAAACTAACGGCTTTAAAAAGTATTTCTTTAGAATGGAAGAGAACCATGTAATTAGATTAACATTAAAAAAAAAGTAAAAGATTCATACCTGTTAATAAACCACAAACAGATGATATTGATGGACGAGATCTTCTACCACCATGACTAAATCTAAACTGTGGTCTTTGTATGGTATCCAACATATTAGAATCTAAATAAAAGAAATAATGAAACGAACATCTTTGTAATACAGCATAAAGATATAATTTCTCTAAATTTGCCGTTAATATTTATAGTAGACTCATTCGTATTAAAGTTAATCCCGAAATAAGGTCTCACAATTTATCATTAGTGATCGACTAGTGTTCATTATTTTCTCTGATAATTGCATAAATTTAAAACATTTGAATTGAGTTGTATAATATCTAGAATAGACAACTTGAAAGTTCAATTTACTTAGAATGTAATTCAGTGACATGCATAGTTTTAATGTTTTAATAACATTTGTTTTCGTGACTTTATAAATAAAATAAATTATTTTGTTCTATATTAAATAATTTGCGTTTAAAAACATTTGAACAATTTATTGTAGGGGTCATCAAGCTAGATATTCTGACCCCGTTTGATCAATTTTAGATAAGTTAATAGATAGATGCCTTTATTAACCTGATTGTTGTCAGTTATAAGCAAATCTACAAGTTCATGATCCGTTATGGTTAAACAGACATTCGCGTTACTGGATTTTATTACCGTAATAAATAAGATCAAGTATATTTAATGATGCTGTCTACCTAGCCACTCATAAAAAATCGAAACATTTCACTAACGAATTAATACCACTGAAATACAAGCTTGAACAACAAATCGTAAATAACATTCTTGTTTTGTTTCATCAGTCAAATAGAGATGTATTCTATGAAATTCCCTGATTAGTTTGACCTATATACATACAAATCATTGTTATCTATACATTTTACATAGAATTGATTTTTTAATCACCTGGTCCGATGTGAACTGAGGTTTTTCTCTGTCCATCATTCTCATTTTTATATTCATCTTGCACTTGTATAGTTGAATTTGTACTTGATTGTTGGTTGATTTGTAATTGTTGTGTTTGAGCAAAACTTTCAACTGTATGTGGACTAAATCTTAATGAATAAGCATGAGAATTTAAACTGATTGATTTAATTCCAGAACTTTTATATATTGCAAATGCTGCTCGTTCAAATTGATTTTGAAAATGTTCACCAGTACGATGTGATCCATTTAAATCTGTCACTAGAAAATAAAAATAAAATAAAAAGATATTTATTCAAAAAACGGTATGTTGATTACAATTTTATTCAACTATGAAAAAGAATACAGCTACCCCGCATCATCAGTTTATCAGCAAGATGAGAAGAAAACAGTTGAAGAAAAATACTGTGAATTCATTTATCTTTGTTGATTTTCTCTAACTGACTGCTACGGCTTCTACATTTATTGTCTCTTATATAATCTCTACTGGTTAGAGATCTTGAATGACATGGCTTAAAATCCTTTGCAATGGCGCAGCTGCATCCATTCTTTACGTTCTCTCAAATCTTGAATCTTCTGAATTCCTCATCACCTATATCTTTCTCTTTCGAAAGTTATCTCACTGAATTATACTTCTCGAATCATATTTTTAAACCCCAATCTTGTCCATTACTGCTAATACTTCTACTATCTCTGCCACTATGGGATTCGAATTGACAGTTGCGTCTCTGTACTTTCGTGTTATGGCGACCTGAACTTATGTATTCATGTACGAAGTTCTACGTTGTAACTGACTGACTGACGTTCAAATTTATTTTAATCAAGATTATTCTGACATAATATAGTTGTTTTTTGATTGTTTATATTATAATTGTTTTAAAAAGTTAAAGAGAATCTAAAAGGTTCAATGAATTCATGCTATTCTAATATGGTTGTTGTTTTCACTTTATTCAAATCTAAATAGACTGATTTAATTTTAAAGAGTAGTGATACTAAATAACAAGAATGCACTACAACTAATGAATTAGACATTCAGTAATATATGTCCCAAATCACCAGAAAAACGATCAAATTATAATACTCACATTATAAGTACTGAGTAAATACCTATTTGTGTTCAATATCTCTTTTATTTAAACTTCTCATGAGCACAAAAAAACCGAAAATACGATTGTATAAGTTGTACTGATTTATTCAACGATATCTAATGACGGAACAAAATCTTAAGCATAGAAACTTTTATCTCAATGGGTAACATTCGAAAATATTTATATGCAGTTCAGTTAATTAACACTTCCTTCTTCCAAAAATAACCAGTGCATTCCATTCAGTGTAAGTTTAAAAAAATTTTAATTTCATTCAGTTTGTCCCATACCAAAAGATTAATATAACATAATTAACTAAATCACTGAAATATATTTGCTGATCCCACTAATTCTATCTATTCCCTGTCATTTGAAAGAAGCATCCAACTATACTGAATAGTGAATAACATAAAATGGTTCGGTGTGAATAAAGAAACCGTACTCCATTCGAAAGTTGACGAATCTCCCATTTTTCATCTAGATGCTGTACGTAGTAGATTTATTGCATCAATAAAATACTTACAATGGTCATATACCTTCAATGAGTTAAACATTTGTTCTGTTCACTTAATGTAGTCAACATTCATTAGGTATGCTAACTAAAAATGTAATTCACATGTTATATGTTTGGGGAGAACTTGAAAATGTATTACTGAAGCATGAAACTATTGTTGAAAGTAATATACATAATATTTAAGCTAATCTCTAAACATAAAACATTTTTATTAAATGCCTAATCCGAAACAAAAGAAAAATTACAATCAAATCTTACCTGAATCAATATCGACTTGACCAGGAGAGTTGCCTAGTTGAGCCTGTATAGCTAATATACTAAAGCGATTGACAAAAAAATCCCATGTAAATATTTCCCTGTTCGGTAGATTACAACTAAGTTGATGCATGCGTTGTAGGATGAGACAACGGTCGGAAATTACAGTATCAAATTGAAATTCTAAACATTGTATTGCACACTAAAAAAGAGATAACCATAACAGACAAATTAAATTCAAACTAAACATTAAAGTAACTCAACATGTCATCGAATAAAATCTTCTTTTATTGACAATATCATTTACTGAAGCTGTACAATAGTATTTATAGTGATTTTAAAAATATATAAGCCATTGAAGAATATAGGTAAATCACATTATAAGGTGTCTTGAAATTTTAAGCACCGAAAGAAAGTTAAAGAAGAATGACGGGATGAAAACAACTGGCGAGTTAGAAATACGAAAGACAATTTTCTACTTGATACGTACGAAGAAGAGGAAGAAGAAATGATTAACTTATGCGGTATAAAAACAGTTGAATAATAATCCTGAACAACTGTAGGAGGGTGACGATAACTAATTACATATTTAAAATCATGATATAACAACAAAAATATGATTACGATAAATACAACACTAGAAAGGATATTAAGGTTGCAGAAGAATGAGAGATGGTACGTATTATCTCACATACAGAGTTCAGCCATGAATAAATGGTCTGACAACACTTCAGAGGTTCAAAAGTTCTCAATTTTTTAAGTCTCTTTGATCCTATTCTACGGATCGTGTAGATTATCTTGAACGAAATGTGCCTATTACTTAAAAACAAAGATGGAGTCATGAGTGTATTTGTTAATCAATCAGTCAATGATACATTTGCTTTTGTCATCTTTCATTTCTTTATCGTCTAAGGTTACTGCATTTAAAAAACTAAAACCGCGTTTCATCAACTTTGAATTCAATAAAGTCTAGTCACTTATGTAACACTTTCAAAAAGGTCTTTTACCAAATTCGTGGTGGTGTTTCGTTCTCTGAGCTGGATGTTTTGATCGTGGAGCTTTCATTGTTCTTCTAAACAAGATCATCAGCACAAACTTCAGATAAAAGTGAAGCATTTGAATTTCTCCACGTTTGACCTGTAGCTTGTTCTGCTAATCTCAATCTTGATTGGTTGCTGTTGACCTAATTTGTCCAAGTCATCCAAAAATTCTTTAATCATAACTACTTAAAGCAGAAACAAGTCTTTTTTTAAACCTGGCTTGCTATTATCAATAATTCCATTTCTTTTGTAGCTATTTTTTTCACATTTGTGCATCTTTTTTCACCTCACTATTTCCGGTATCATTTTTCTTCACTAAATACTTTCGATTTTTAAATATTGAAATGAAAAATATTCATCTCATTTGATGAATTTTAATCAGATTTTAATTCTTTGTTAGTTTGTCAGTTTTACAGCTCTTCTTTTTTACTAAGCGTACAATCTAAATATTATGTAATCATTTCTTTTATCAATTCAATCAAATGGTTCAGCATTGAAATTTTCATGATCATATTGCATTATTATCCGAATTCAAACAAACAGATACTTATTAATGTACATAAATACACAGCTAGACAATAAATTGTCATAGTTCAAAGATTCCCATCAAGTTATCAAACAAAAATTGTTTGCCTTAACTTCACTATCAAACTCTACAGTTATAAATGTATTCCAATGACTGAAATAAACCACACATAAATAAGTGAATTAGGTAATGTTGTGTGTTAGGATTGTGAGCTTTAACTCTGGTCGCAACTTGAAACTGTTCAAAATGTGTAATTTTTGAATTTAAAAGGGATTTATTATTACCTGCTTGTGAAGGTGGATCGAAATGTTTCGATAAAGGAGTCAAGAGATCCCCTAACGGTGTTGTTTCGTCTCATCTGGTAGATGTTAAGTACCATATTACGGTAGGTAAACCGTAATCTATTAAAAATGACCACTGATATGTATGCCTTATTTTATCTAATGAAATACCTTAGTTATGAACTCATTACTTTAGAGTGTGATGTTTAAGTGATTCGAAACAAAATTGTTTACGCAGAAATTCCTTCTCAATAGATTCATTTTAATAAATCTATAAATTTTTACATTACAAATACGGAAAAAAATAATAAAATCTGATATTACTCACAGCTAATGAAACATTATTTAGTGATGCTAATTGTATTGAAGTATATTGCGCTACCATTGAATTCGGATCATCTAATGAACCAATCAAACAACAAAATGCATGTGCTATGGTACTTTGAATTAATGGATGACGATTGTTACTTGGATGAGCATGTGCTTTATTGATTGGCTCTGTATGTGTTCCACCATGTTGCTTTATTCCATGACCACTAGGTAGATTTTTACGACCTGGATTAAATTTAGTACGTCCTATATGTGTAATACCAGTTAATCGACTGAAAAGATTTGTTGCACCTGAACTTGCCATACTTCCACCAGATATTAAATGATTAAGTTTATTTCCAGCTGAACCACTGAAACCACCAGCTAATATACAATAATCTAATTCTCTAAGTAATACTGATACTTTTTCTATTGCATCAAAACGAATTCTCCAATCATAATGTGAAAAATCACGTTCAATCAATTTCCAAAATACATTAAATCCACCAGGAAATGATAAACAGTGTAGAATTAAAGGAACTGTCCAACTGGCTAAATATGATAATTCAGATTTTAATAAACTCCAAAAACTATTATTATTATATTTAGTAGAAAAAAAAGACAAAATCGGAAAAATAATTATAAAATATTAGTTTTCTAACATAGAAACGTTACGTATTATTATCAGTTCATAAATAGATGTTTGATTACAACAACAAAATCTAATGTCAGATTATGCACACAATGCAAGTAAGCTGGTGGAAGTCTTAGCACAAAGTAAATGAATAAACAGTAAAGTTTGGAAAGGATCAAAATAAGACTAAATAACAAGTTCTGTAAGATGTTCAGTAGTACCCCCCGCCAATGTAAATTTCACTGTATGAGCATTTAAATCAGTAAATACACTTTAAAGTTACAAAATCAAGTAACTGATTCTTTGTTTGAGCAACTAATACAGACCACCTAGAAAATAAAAATTGACTAGATATATAAACAGTCCTTTTAATAATTTTGGTTGGTCTATCCTATAAGACGTCATTCCAATGAAGTGGAGCTTCAGAAGCAATGGGTTCTTACGAGTAAACCGTTTACTTGACTTATTGATACAAGAGATAGTTGATAAAATATCATAAAAATTTGAAAATATATCTCTACATGTGTTAGACAATATATCGATCATCATGATTATTATTAAACAGAAACGGCCGTTCAATGCTTCCAAGTTTCTAATGGTGGTCTAACAATGATTGATTGATGATTTAAATGTGTTTAAGAATATGTTCCTACTTACAACTAGATTATTAAGATTACTTTTGAAATCCACAAATTTTAGGCAAAACCCTTAGATATTTCTTTAAAATACATACATTATCGTAGTTAACCTTAAGAAAAACCTTCCTATCTTCCACATGGTACGTTTGATTTCATATAAAGCCAGAAAGTAAATCAGATGTAAGTCGAACATATACTGAAAAAAAGTGACCAACAACATATTCAGTACTTAAAATTTTAAACTGAACTGATCAAAACGTATTGCTTTCAGTTCCTTAATTTGAATATTCAATGAAGATGTCTTGCCTAGTAAATTGATAGATAGCTATTATAATCTTATGAAAAAAAAACTAGTTCATTTTGTCTAGATTCATATATTTGAAAGTCCTTAAATCTAAACATGTTTTTTTTATTATAAATTAATTTTATGTTACACTATAACATTATTCGAATTTCTTATGGAACAAATGAAAGTACACTATCGAAATAAAAAACTTTTTTAAATATCAACGTCATCATATTTCTAAAACTGAATTTCAGTTGACACTGATCGATAAAAATGCTAAGATAAAACAAACAAAATAAGGCTAAAGTAATTTTAATTTACTAACCTTGGGATTAAATGAGAATGTATTAAATAATAAACAAAATTTTTTTGTTCTCTTGGTGTTGCAGTACAGTTACGGGATGTTAAAGTTTTTGTAGTTTGTATTAATTGACTTTTGATTGATAAATCTTGACCAGTCATTTGACTTGCGAGCTTACTTCCAGTTAATCCTATCAGACTGTTAATACCAAGCGTTCCAGTTGTTGTGGTACTCACAACGTTTGCTACACCACTGGTGGTTATTACTGTATTAGTTGGTATGGTCGTTGAACTACTAGAACCACCGGTCGACAATTTTTGTTCTTCTCTTTCTGCTTTTGATAAAATTTGTCTCAGTGCATCACCAGTATGGCATAGATATGCTAAGCATTCTAAAATACACTGCAATACTACAGGATCGCGAAAAGTTTTCAGTTCAATTGGAGTCTGGTTTACGACGGGAAATGAAGGAGAGGAAGTTGTCTGTTCGTCTGTTATTGTCACTGGTGTTGTATCCTGAAATAAACTATCAGGCTCATTGTCTAATTTTTTACATTCAACATAACGTCGTGTACCTTCCTTTATAAATCGTGTCAATAAATAAATAAGACGCAATATGGGTGGAATGGAACATAAATCTTCAGAAGATGGAAGTTTTTCCGATATTTCAGTAACTTCTGATCTAGGAGCTAAAGATTTTATTTCTGATGTTTCGTTGTTGCCAGAATCACTCCAATCAGTATACTCTAAAATTAATAAGTGAAAAATTCTAATATTTGAGGATCAACTTCAGATAGAGAGGGTCAAAACAGGTAAGATTTTAAGATTATAAGAAATCATAAATAACTCCACGTAAAAGAAGTTAGCTTTAAGATTATTTGTATTATCAACTAAACTCACTTTTACCAAAATGACGAATCGATTACAATGATCTAAGAAATAACAAGTGGTTACTAACACTTAATTTTAAACCCTGTCCTGTGGAGACAATTGACAGAATTCGAAAATTTTGAATTTGGTGCGTCAAATAAATTAACAAGGAAAAATGTTTGCTTTCGTGAGAACAAAAATACTGATTTTCTGTAGATTAAGTATGGGCTACGTAATTTTGTGCAAACGATCTGTTGACATGATATCATTGTGTAGTGCGTTCACATACAATTGAGTTTGCTCAATTTGATTTGGTCAAGCCTTTCGACTAACTTATTTAACCAAGCCATTGGCATAGCAGCAACTTATATGTACCATTGGTTTTTATTACTATCTGGTTTGCATGAGCTGGTACGACTGAACATTGCTTACGCCTACGCGCATACTTATCCTATTCGCTTTGATATTAATCTTAAATATCTCGATGACTCAGATATTTCCCTATGTATGTATATGAACATTTATAATCTTATTAATTCATTCGCACATTCGCCAATTCAATCGCTAGTGTGCCTGCCCTGCCTTCTTGTGGTCTACTGTTCCATTTTTGTGGTGTGCTAAAAATAAACGAATTCACCATTCTTATTTGCCTTCTGATTTATCACCGTCAGGCACTATTTGGTGACGATTGCCTATACGATCGAATCACGAAATCTAAGAACACTTTGAAATTGGTCATCAAAATAGAACGTTATTCCTAAGTTTGCTTCATTCAAGGAATAACGATTTCATCTTATGATGTAACTTATTTTTGAAAACTGATTCATTTATATTGTTAATAAGTAAAGTAAAATATTCGAGTATTTGTAGTTTTCCAGTCAAAATAGATCACAGCTACAAATGTAGTGATTATTCCGACCATATCTTTTCAACTCTATCGTCCAGGGAACATTGCGATTTAACAGTTTAATTCTAACATCACTATAATCTCACTCGAGAATAGTTAGAAATCCAGAACACCAGTTGTTGGGGCTAGTGTGTAGTGTTAACGACTAATGGTATCTACAAGAAACACGAGAGTCAAACATATCAGAGAGTAAGCTGATGAATCATGAGTGGTATGTTTGTGTATTTTATAACTGTCAATTAATATGTGGATAAAATTACTGACTATCCATGTTTACAACCAGTTAAAGAATAGGTAAAGAATTGAGGTGCAGACATACGTTCAATCCTAATGATACATGCATGCATAATGGATCAAATAAACATATGATAGTTCATTTGTCTTGCTTGCTTGAATCACCCCATTGATGTATAGAGCTGTAATTGATCAGTCTCTTTGGCATATGTTAATCCCACGTGGATCTCCTCAATATCGCCTTCCACTGCAAGCCACTATCCAGCTCTGCTAAAAATGTATGTCAGGCTTTTTTGATATAGTACAAATGAAATGAGAAGACTTGCTATACAATAACTACTAATTCATACTTTATGGATTTCTCCATACCCCAGCTACGAAACTACAAGTTTGCAAATGTTGATGTTGTTAGGATATCCACCAAATATCCTACGAAGAATCATTTTGTAAGTGTAACTTCTATCAGTCGATTCTTATTGGTCAATATTATGGTCGTCCTAGCTATCAATGTCACTTCAAATGTTTTTTTCCTATTGGTCATAACTGTCAATGTCGTAGACTTCGATGGTGTTTTCTATTCGACCTAAATGTATAAATACTCATTATCTGTAACGTTTTTTATCCGGACCCGGACCTGGATCCCTAATGCGGGATTCTGATTTTCATCTGGACTCGGGTTTCGTACTTTCTAAATGTTTGTAGAATACAGGTTCTACTCCATTTCAAGTTTTCTTTTTTCACTCATTGGGGGTTAGGACACTTGTATTAGAGTAGCATCTAATGTAGCCGGATCCTCGATCCTCGCTCTCGTTTTCGACCAAGGTAAACTCGTAATAGTTCAAGCATATCAAAAAGACATGTTTACGTTCATGCGTGACAGATGTCATTGCCCTATATCTTCAGCTGACTGAAGTTGAATCTAGAAACCACTGAACCATGGATTGGCAATTTAAAGGCGCATTATTCCCAGCGAGATCTGAAGGACTTAGATTTGACTGTGTGTGTGTGTGTGTGTGTAAGCATTGCTACGGAGTTCCAAACTATAAAGAAATAAGTATCTAGTCTCCAGTGGTTGCCAATCAGTTTAGAACTGATACTGGTTTGTGATAGAAACTACATTTGGAATAAGATCGTGAATAGTGCGTGGAAAAAAATTATATTTATTGAAGAGATCTCATTAAAAGAAAACCAAAAACAGGCAAATATGTATAACATATAACAACATACCTGGAAATTCCATTACACCTTTTAATGCATCAATAGTAAAATCAACTGTAACTTTAGGAGTTGGTCTTATTGGTGCTAAATGTTGGCATATCAATCTAGCATAATTAAACCATGTGAGCATATCTAAACAATCAATACATTCACCAACATCTTTATCTGTTTGTTTGTTTATATTCATTTCATTAGTGTTATTGACATTTTCATCATTGGCCGCTGGAGCTGTACTTGTTGACATCGGTGTTATCAAATTGCCTGATAATCTGTTTTTAGATTTGGGTAGAATACAAGTTTCCAAGCCAAGGCAAAATAGATTTCTTAAACCTGGACTTGTTGTTTGATCAGCTGTTTCAGCAACATTACCACAATACAATTCTAACATATCACCTAAAAGCCATATTAATAATTGTGGTGTTTCTTGTGTGTAACCAGAATGTCCGATTGGATCCATTATTTTTAACTTTAAATTTAAATTTGAAAAAATACATAAACGAAAATATTTTATTTAATTACTATATACATTGAGATCTATTAATTTATTTAAGCATTATCCAACTCATCTACTATCTAATCAAAACTTAACTTCAAGTAGGAAAGAAGCACTTTAAAAACAAAGTTGTTGAGATCATAGAGCAAAACATTCCATAATTACATTCATCGCTAATTGTATGTTAATGTTAGTATATGCACAAATATAACAAGTGAATCACTAATCAAATAGTATACAAGCTTTATTTATTGTAAACTGGTTACTCCGACAGTCTGATGAATATCATGGAACATTTTAGTAAAATGACACAGTATTGTTAATCATTACACTTAAATGAAAAATATATACATATTTGTATCATGTATAGTTTAGTAAGTTTCAGTTTATACATGAATATAGCCAGGGCATATTCATGCATCCTATAAAATCTATGAGATCTCAGTTCAGAACATCTATTGATATGAATAATCAATTAAAAATGTATTTGGTGAAAACAAAATATGAGAATTTATAGAATAGTTGAACTATGATTACGAACACCAATGATGCATCAATCCTAAGAACAATATTTTCAGCATCACGGTGATTTTTTGTAAATTTTAATTTCCCTTTTTATCGGTCAAATTACCTTCATCATAACTGAACTATCACCGCTTGAATATGCTATTTTAATAGCTGGACTTCGTGTGTCTGATCAACGTGCATAAGGGTAAAAACCCATTGATTAATAGGTTGCATTTTTGGTGAATTTAGTAACTCCTCAGAACAAAATTTTTAGCCGGTACCAGTACAGATTAGAAAGAGATTAGGAAGTCGTCTGTCCTCATTTTTCAAGCAGTCTAAACTAAGGACAGTTTCCATTGTTTTTAAGAGACATCACTATACAATTATGAAAACTGAGATTCACCTCCAAAATAACTCGTCGAAGAACTCTTCAAATCAAATGAAACTGATCAATGACTTTTTTTCTATTTTATGGAAGTAAACCTAGTGATTTTACACTGACTATCATTTTTTTTTAAGATTTACTATAAAGAAGAATTAAAATGAAACAATACCTGACGATATGCAATATCTAGCATATGTGTTAAACAAGCAGTAATTCTGTATTGATTAATTTGTGATGAACTATGTTTTTTTACTGCTTGATCAGTTGTTAATTCATTTGTATCTTTAGTTTCCGATTCTTGAATTAATTGTTGTTGTTGTTGTTGTTTATCATTTTCTTCTGAAATATTTTGTTGAATTGTCAATTTATTTTGTAAGCTTTCATCAGTTTTAAGATTAGATCCCGGTGTCACTGATGAAGTATTATTAGATTCGTTCATTGTATTTCGTTTTGTTCGATTTTGTTTATTGGTTTTAAGTAGAGTGTTGGATGTAAATGATTTAGAAGTGTTTTTATCATCAATATTATAGGATAACAGACTTTTTGTTTCATCCAATGTTGGATCGTCATCTTCGCCTTCTTCTATATATTCATTGTCTTCTGATAAAAACTGATTATCAATCGGTGCAGGAGTTCTATCGACATTTTCATCATCTTCATCTACTCTTGAATCTTCTAAGTAAATATCACTCTCTTCTTCATCTTGTAAACGATCTCCATGAACAACATTGTCTAACAAAAGTTCATTTTCATTTAACCAATCAGCTTCGCTAGCAGTGTTCTGACCCACTGAATCATCATACTCATCTTGATCTGTTAAGTAGTCCTCATCAGACTCATCGGTAGTAGGTAACAAGAGTTCTAAAAACAAGGATGCTACACCAGCTGCAAACATTGTAAGTAGTTCTTTCATAGGGATTGGAACCTCAACAATCGTTAGGATCTGAAAATTAGAACATAGGTAAATGAAAATGATTTTTTTTGAGAATCAATATTATCTGTCTCACTCCTAAATTTATAATAAGAACCCATGATCATTGAAATTTAACCATGTCAAAAATGAGCTAGGCATCTTCCCTGACAAAAGATGATGGTTAAGAATTATGTAACCAATCAACAAAACTTGAAAGAAGAAAAACATTGTATGTCAGTTCAGTGGACTACAATTTAAGGAGCTTACTGTAAACAATATTAGCACTTTGTTGTTCTTATTATAGAAAAACATTAAGACAGCTTACTTCATTCTTGGATATAAAATAGACTATGAAAAATTTTAAGATTTTTGGTAAATTCTTTTCAAGCTAATGCATATTATATACAGTACATAATGTTGTAGATAACAAACATTTAGTATTCATGTATTAAAACCTTCGTATTCATTCACTTATCTAGACAAAGGATTTGTTTTAACTAGGTAATCAAGTAGATCATCAGTTGTTAATCAAATAAAATGATAATGAAATTCCATCGATTTCATTGATATTTGTTTGGTGATTTAAACAAAGTCCATATAGACTCTGTGAATTTAATTTTTAAAATGAACAACCTAGTCGAGTCAAGATAAATATTTTCAGAGCAAATAGAAATAAGATACTAAGAACCTTCAGGAACATATGTTCCAGCTAGTATAGCTCGGTTGGGTGATGACGATAGGCAAGCCCGACCACCACGTCAAGGTAGCAACTGCGGTCGGGGCTTCTGTTTGGTTTCCTAGATAGAATCATTACTGATAACATTTACATATAGAATAAATGACTGTTAGGTTACTTGAAACCCTATTTAGGAAGAAAGTTTAAATTCATGTAACCAAATATGTAAAGTAATTAGAAAGTTGAGTTCTATATGAAAGTTTTTATGAATTTGTTGGAACCACTGTAAAAAGGAAACATTTATTAGGGGGAGCCTAGGTAATCTTAGTTTCTAGTTAGGTTTTACTTTACGAAGTCATATCTACAGACACTTTCATCATTTCAGATCACATTGTCTTAAAATTTCATAGTGTATTAAGAACTTGTTGCATAACAGAATGTCTTTTTCTCATATTCTGTCTTAAAATATGTTTATCAATTCAGATTACTAGTATACACATGTTTAATAGCTGTCATCCAAAAATATTTCTTTTCGCTAAAATTTATAAAATCAGTAGTAGTTTTAATTAAACAAAGTTGATAAATCATAAATAATTTGTGAATAGAATTACCTCTAACCAACTTAAAGCTTGATCTTGTACACTAACTGGAGTATTGATAAAACGTTCACTAGTAAAATGATAAACTTTCTGTGGTAAAAAAGGAAATGGTCCAGCAGTTGCATCGAAAATTTTTCTGTACATAAAGAAAATAAATAGTGAAAACAATGAAAAATAAATAATTTATTTGTCAATTAATTATGAAACATGTATTTACATAAATTAAATGAATTAGAGGAACTGTGAGATGTAATTTCATTTTAATTATACAACATGATAAATGAATTGATTTTTCAAATATGAAAAAGTAAAGAAAAGTTTTACAATAAACTAATGATTCATTCATCATAAAATTATTCTACTCTATCGAAATGTTGAAGTTTTGGAAACAGATTAATTTAAGTGAGCTTACTCGTACTTTTATATACTCTTATTTTCTCAATGTAATTCGTTGCATATTCTTTACTTACTCATTACTCTATAATATGGTGCACAATTGTTGATTTCATCCACTATGGTATAAAATATGACACCAATTTTTCTTACATGGAAGCCCTAATCAACTTAATTTTGTATAGTTGACAAAAATTAGCTTGAAAACTGACAATTACAGACATTTTACGGAATAAAATGATCAACTAATCAACTTACTTGAGAAGAATTTCTAATTCTGGATAATCAGCCCTTGGAACTTCGGTTCGAATTGATTCTAACCAGTAGGGCATTACAAAATCCCAAGTCTAAAATAAAAATAAAGTATTTGATGTATATTACTGATGATATAGGAAAGAATATTTATTATACTCGAAATGCAATACCTCATATAACAATTGGTTCAACTTTACAAAACTTATATTTCAAGATGATGTAGACTCTGGAAAATTACCCATATCAAGCAGTACTGTTAATTAGACTTTAAAGGATTGTGATAGTTGTCTAATGTGAGGAACATTTCCTTAGTCTTGAATCACTAACTACTCATTGTGAATGCTTATTTTCAAAAGTAAATAAAAATGAAGCTAAATTAAGAAATTCTCTAGTCAAAATGATAAATTTAAATTTGTTTACGATTACCGTGTAAATCAGGGTTGTTTTTTATATTGAAATACTAAAAAATAAAACAATAAAATAAAACAATTTGACTTTGAACAAATAAAAAATAATAATTAGTCAAATATGTATGAGCGAAATATATATTCATATTTATACAAGTTAAACTAACCTCAAAAGTAATAATATCATATGGTATTAAACTACCAATACGACTGAGACCATGTTTAATTCTTGATAAATGATCACTGATCACATCCCTGATAAATAAAGAAATATACAGAATTAATAATTATAAGGAAACGACTGAGTTTTCAGTTGTAAATTTTGATTACTTATAGAGATTAATTCCAAGTGACTAATTGTAAATAAATCGTAAATCTACAATCAGTATGCTTAATTTATTTATCTAATTAAGTTATTTGTCTAAATAATTTATGCTATAACATCTGTTGATTTACACATTTTTGAAACCATGAATCGATCAATTTTAGAGAACCATTACAAACCTGGAAGCACTGGACGGCCGTTTCGTCCTGGTATGGGACTCCTGCGGTGTGCAGCAGTCGTGGATGAGCACTGCTGATGAGTCCTATACCAGGACGAAACGGCCGTCCAGTGCTTCCAGGTTTCTAATGGTTCTCTAACATTGATCGATTCATGGTTTCAAAAAATCTGTTGATTTGTCAAATATTTTGTAACTGTTATTTTAGTTCAAAGACAAAAACAGTATAAATTATTGGGATTTTGAATAACTATAAGAAAGCATTGAAGATTAGTTTTCAAGAAAGGATGATGCACGAAGCCAGATTTTCTGTAGAAATGTGACTAACTTCGAAGGAAAAATTTTACAGAGGATAGAAAGAAACGACGGAAATGTTGAAGGTCAATAAAAATTAAGGAACAAATGATGGTCATCCTAAGTAGTTTGGTTGACATTTTAGAAAGGGGCGAGCAAAAGGGCACGATTTAAAAAAGGTACACATTAATTAAGGCAGATATCAGGAGAGTGAGATCATCCAAAACGGGAAGTAACATGTATTAAACGGGAATAATTTTTAAGTGTATGAAATTTATTTTTAAATCGCTACCCCATCACTCACCCGTTTAAAATAGAGATATCACATAAACACTGTGACAATGCATTAATGTGAAGCACCATATACATGGTTCATGATTGACAGCATAGTAATGAGAAGACAAATTTTATGAGATAGTACCATTTCGTGCTTTCTCGTCAGTCACATACAAGCAACATGTTATTCGTGTAAATACAATTTTGAAGATAAGGTCAAAATTTCTTATTTAACATGACATTCACTCAATAGAACCATGGTAAACAAAGGTCAACATACAGTTGTTTTTGAACACATAAAGTTGGACTTTTCCGACCAATCAAGATAGCTTCGAATAGTTTGAGTGTGTGTGGGTTTTGATGACATGTCACAACTCTAAAGGCTTATTTTGGGTCAATTTGATGACCACTCATCATTAGATGTTTTGCAATGGACGAGGCTAGGTTTCTTGATCGATCTTGAGATGACAGGCTAGGTTGATGAATCATGGATTTGATTAACCATTTTGGAATATGTTCCCCTATCCTGTCCTCCAATCGGCGATCTGTCCTGCCCAAGTAACTTTCTCCGCAGTTACATGTGAATTGGTAAAGACAGTGGGATTTGGACTGTTTCGGTCTTGGAGACTTGATTGGGGTAACTGAGATCGATTGGGTTGTCGTGATAAGCCTCAGATTAGCTGCACTGAAGGTCTTTTTTATTGCAGCTGCAGTCTGTTTGGTTGTAATTTTCATGCAATGATCAACCTTCAAAGGTAACTGTAGGTACACTGGTTTCTTGGACACATCAGTTGCTACCAGTTTCGTCGTAGTTGTGTTCTGATGACCAATAAACGTTTCGGGATATCCGTTTAATTTAAGTGTGTCAGTAATAAGCTTGAATTCGTCGTCCAATGTATCAGCAGTGCAGATTTTACTTGCTCGAGCGAATAAAGTTTTGACAACAGAACGTTTATATTGTATGGGGCAGAAACTAGTGAAGTGAAGGTACTGTCCCGACCAGGTGGGTTTGCGGTGTACTTTTCGTCTGATTGATCCGTTTGGACGGCGATGGAGCAGGATATCGAGGAAAGCTAGTTCATTATTCTTTTCTTTCTCATAAGTGACTTTCAGATTCGGGTGAATTGCATTAAATAAATCATTGCCTTCATTAATATCTGTAGAATGTGGTAATATGACAAGAATATCGTCGACATATCGTTTGTAAAGTGTAATATCATCGATGAAGTGACTCACTTGCCTTTCTATCATTCCCATGAATATGTTTGCTAAAGCAGGTCCGAGAGGGCTTCCCATAGCCACTCCATCGATTTGCATAAATGCTTTACCTTGGAAATAGAATTTTATATTATTTGTTTATAGCAAAATTAGATCTCGAAGATAAGTAGTAGGAATGGGTATTCTTATGTTGTGTGAAGTTATGAAATCACAAATAAATTCCACAGTTTCTTCCAGAGGTACATTTGTGAACAAAGAGTTTACATCGAAAGAACACATCCGACTATTAGAAATATTCAAGTGTTCCAAGGTTGGGAGAAGTTCAAAAGAATCAATGAGAGTATTTGTCGACAGTTGTTTACAAACAGGATCCAAAATTCCTTTCAACCACTTTGCTAGCTTATGGTATGGTGAATTTATCATGGACAAAATTGGTACTATCTCACAAAATATGTCTTCGCATTTCTCTGTTGAAATTTATCAAAGGGAACCACTGTTTTGGACATCATAGTAATTGAACTGTTAGCCCGCTATCATAGACTTTAGAATATCATTGTCTTAATTCATAATGAGTATAGTTGACTACTGATAAAATCTATTTCTTTAATTGGATAAGTGAACTGACCTATGGTCCTAACTATGGAATGAAAATTACTCATCTTTGGAACTTAACCAATCAAACTGCAATAACACAGGGTGGGTATTAGCTAACGTGACTAGATAATTGGTCTGAAACCACATTGTATGGAAGTTAGATCGAGCCAATCGCATGAGTTCTTTTTAAAAAAATTAAAAGGGTAGAAAAATTTGAGTGTCTTTGCACCAACCTACTTCGTATGAATCTTGTCAGCATTTCTTGAAAGTCAACTATTGGCTAAAGGTTCAGAAAGTTATGTTTTCAATTGGTCGTGGAGGCAAAGGGACGAACAGCAATTACAGTATGGTGATTATAATAAGATTAATTTGGAACATAATAATTTCGTCGGTATATACTTTCGACAAACTGTAAACGTCAATAATTTACCTAGCACTAGCCACTCGGCCTACCAACCCCTAATTGATGAACGTAAGCTAATCAATCCTATAATTTGTTTTCCTAAAGTATTGACTAATGTAGTTGAATTCGCGGTATATGATGATGATTTGCAGTAGATTTTTCATGTTACCAAGTGTCAAATCAGTTTAAAAGGAAATGTCAATAGGCAACAATGAATAGTTGATTCCTTTTGAAATTATCATTTATAGTTTGAATCTGATGGCTAAACCAAATATATAGATAAAGTCTATTATTATATTTGTAAGCAGGTTTTTTGAAATGCTAAAAAATTATAAAACTATTTTTCACTACGTATTATAACAACGCATAATGCTTGGTCGATAAACATCATAAAAGTTTTTCCGGTTACTGATAATTAATTTATAACACATACGATTTCTTTCAAATGGGCTTTTTTGGATAATTTATTATTGATAAACAAATTTACTGCTGATAACATTGCGGAATTACGCAGTAACTTTTTATGTAATTATAAATAGTAATACTCCAGAATACAATATTCTTTTTTTCATTGACATGAATTGCTCTATTTTATTAAACTTCTAAATAAATGTTCTTTACCTCTTTCGGTTAACTTATTCTTCATTTATGACAGTATAAACTATTGGTCAGTCAACAATCACTATTGCAACTACAGATCTGTGTCGTGACTAACAAAGAGTTATCGGTTCTTTCTTATTTACTTTTAACGACATTCGTAGTCTTGCTCCCGTCACAACTATTGACGACTACAATCTATGTAACTAATCGAATTACGTTTCATTCGCTTGTAATCAAAAAGAAAATTGATTTCAATTTTTATCTCAATATTTATTATCATCGAATACCATTGTATGGCGCTCGAATAAAATTTATGTGGTATTTTTTTTCTAACGTTAAAGTTTTATACTACAAGATGACTGAACCATCCTAGAAAATTTATTTATTAAAATGTATAAATGAAAATTTCAATATCCAACAAGAAGAGATTATGCTAGATTGGTTTTAACTAATCAGATTCTACCTATTCTCAATTTGCAACCAATTAGAAAATTACTGCAGGCAACAAAGCGTTTGTATGTCTGCACATGAACACACACTATAAAATAAAAGTTGACCAGTCACTCATTTTTCAAATAATTATCATCAAACTCTAAGCGTTTCATCAAAAGGCGTCAAGATTCCTAATCACTGTGTCCAATAATGTGAGCCCAAAGAACTGAGGGTAAATCGGTTAGATTCTATACCCTCAACCATGTTATTCCTGCTTTCGATGCTCACCTTTCTCGATGGTCGTCCCTACTGATGCTTGTACACAGTTAACGTTAGCCTTTTGAAGCAGGCTGTTTTGAATAGATTCCAAACAAAAATATTAACTGAAGTTCTAGACTTAAACCATAGTTTGTACTTTGCTTTTGGTGATTATTCACAAATTAATATGGACATAAATGAGGGTCATATTTATAGCACTATGTGTCCTCTCTTTAAAAAAGCGCACTTCTCTTTCAAGTCTCCTCTCTGACTTCATATCATGAAGACTGAATATATACCAAATAATTCAGTCAGCGCAGTTCAATGACAGCATTTAAAATTCGAATGAAAAACATCGTAGGGGGATTATATTTCATGTATTTATTCAAAGGTAGACAGCTAATGGGAATAGCCTGAGTTAAACTATTCATTCAACTTTGCATTTCAGTTCACGTAGCTTAAATGGGTAACAACAGTGTGGTAAAATAATCATAGACATATATATAGACATAGTAAAGGTGTTTGAAAGTAAAATCAGGATTATTTAAATACAAATAAATAAAAGATGACAATTCAAGCAGGAGTCACATAAGTATTCCATTTTGTATCAGCCTACACAAGAGATCGCATGAGTTTGCCTTGTGAATCGTCGTACGGTTGCAAACTTGACTGAATGTTAATCATGCTCCAAGAGTATGTAAGGTTACTACAGTTATCCAGGTAGTTTCATAAAGCCCTTTCAAAAAATCGGTGCAGTCATTATATCTAGCAAAAACATACCTATATAAACTATGGTCACGATGATAATCGGTCCCAACTCTTATTTGACATACAGTCTGATATCTCATACATTCAAACATGTATAGTTGTAAACACAGTTAGCACCGAAACTTTCTAAAATCTAGTCGACCTTGATGAAGAACCACTTTTTACTTTCATGTACATATTCACTTCAAATAATTTATTACATTACTAATGATGATTGATAATTTTTGTAGATTCACTTACCAACAACTTCCAACTCGAGCATAATTTAATGGATGAGGAAGTAATACTGCATAGATAGCTTCAGGATGAAGACGATGCACTTCTTGAATCCATTTTAAAATGTACTTGAATGAAAATAACAGTCGATCAATATTATTTAAGGCAATAACGAAAGTTGTTATAACATTGACAGAATGTTGGTTGACAAATATATATAATTTGTTTGAGCAGTAATTGCGAAATTACGTTGTTGAAACAAGTAAAACTGTAATAATTACTAGGACATTATTATTTTTAATCAAACATAAAAGAACATTGCTTGAAATAAATGGAACTACTGAGTGATAACCAGTACTCAAAAGAATTGTATTTTGGACATTTCAATATTTGTTTTAAACATGTTTAATGCTAATTGTTCTAAGACAACTGTGATAAACTGAATTAGTTTTATCACATTTTTTTTTCATTGAATTTTGAATAATTTATCATTTTATCACAACTAACACAGGATTAATTGAATAATCAATAAGACACTGTATGAACTACTTAGAGGTATGTAGTAGAGAAATTAACTGAAATAAAATACATGTTCACTTGACAAGACTAATCATTCTGCATAGTTTATATTTAAGTGTTTACTCAGTAAGTATTGAGAATTAGTTATAAAGTATTTATAGAATGTTGTAGAGATTTTATGAATATAATCATAAATTTCAAGATAGATAAGATTTGAATAGGATACTTTGAAAAATTCAATTTAATACTACAAACACTAACAATTATTGATATAATTAATTATAGTTGACAATGATTACCGAATATATATTAGTATACATGAATGTACACACATAATACGAAATAGATAGACTATAGTTAATACTGAAATACAAGACATTTGTTTTATCCTACTTAGAACTATTTACCTGGACATACTTACAACCCAGTGTTCACAGTCACTTTGCAACTCAAAATAGAATGTGGAAGTTTAAAGAAATTAGAATGTTATCGATTGTATGACTTACTTCACTTTTAATTCGTTCCAATAAGTCACCCAATTCATCTAAAATAGAAAAGGACCGGAAATTTTTACAATAAAAGATATAGGCTTCAAAAAATTGTCACAAAGATGTTAGATGATTAGGATACATTTTTATTAAGTGCATAAAATATATAATGAATAGACTACAAACAAGCATGTACAAATGAATAAAGTTATTCCCATATAAAAAATGGGATGAGTTAATTTTGTAATTTCAGAGATTACTTCACGCATATTGTAAAAAATCGATTAATATTACTTTGTAACTTCATGAGATACTTTGCCCATAAGAATTCTTTTGAAAACCATAATTTATTATCAACTATACTACATTAAACTGTTTGCTAGTACGTTTGTCCTAGAATGAATTAAAAATAATTTCAATGAAAATAAAGGATATGTTTTATTCTCTACTCTTTTGATTGTTTGTTTGATTCAGATAGTTAAACATCTAATTAAATTGGAATGTGTAAAGATGCTTTATTGTGTATTACAAATAAATTGTTATTTGCAATTAGTAAAAAAAAATACATGCACAAAAAGTGAAATAATTTTCGATGAATTATGAAAATGAAGCTGTACAACTTTTCAATACATTCATAAACAAACACTAAGCAGGACATGATATTTATTTTTCCAAGCATAAATGTAGTCTGTATGTTATCATGTAAAAACACTGTTAAGTTACAATATATATCAGAATGGATTTTAAGATTGAAAGGTTTATAGTACGTATATTACTAATGATAATAATAATAGTATCATGATTCTTTTTCAAAATATTCTGTTCATTTGCTGTGAAAAGTGAATACTTCATTGAAGTTAAATGGTCAAAAACATATTTACAAATTTATATCTTATCAACAATAATTCACAGAAACATAATAAGTAAAATATAGAAACAAAGTTGTTATGAACTTTTTCGATGTTAAACTACATATGACTGATCACTAATACAACAGACAGGAAATAACAGTAAAAAGTGGTATTCGGTAATGAATGATGTTACATGGTGAAATAAATATGACAATGAGCGGTGTTAGGATCAGTATACCTAGTGTGATGTGAATCTCTTAAGAGAAGATGTCGATAGAATTCCTATCTGTATACAATAAGATTCCATATCCAAATGTTCATAACTTTATTGATATGTTCATAGTTATGAGTCCACTTCAACTAAATGACCAATGTTGACATTGAGTTCTGTTCTTAGAATTTCCGGTATTCATTGCTGTAACTTCTAAATCATCTTTGATCATTTGTACACTATGTATGACTTTCATCTTTGTTGACATTCAGATATATGAAGCAATAAATACAAATCAAGATTGTTAGTTATTAACACTTGACTTTCAAGTATTAGGAAATACATCTCACCCTCAGAAGACAAATCTCATTACTTATTCAACTAAGAGTCTTCAACTCTCTTTAAGATGTGTCTAGTCAGTTTACCTATGAATTTAATATTCGAGCAATGTCCCATATGACTGATAGGTAAGTGCTTTTCAGTGAGATTCGGGCTTGATACATTTCTAAATAATTGTTGATGGACAATACATGCCTCTCACCGTATTTGTGAAATATAATTAAATTTTTCTTTTATTTGAATATAAGGGACCTATAAAAACTATTTATAAGGCATGTTTATTTATCTTCACTTTGAAGAGACCTCTCGAACATTTCAAAGTATTTCTAAGAAATGTCATTATCGAGAACGTAAACGACAGAGTCCAATTCCCAACTCAATAGTTACTTTAATGACTACAGGTGACAGTGGTTAATTGAGGAAACAAACTTATTTCATGGTAAATTAAACAAAAAAACATTGTCTGTCAATTCGATTTCGATAAGTTATAAAATTAATTGATGAAATTCAATTTTTCGATTCATTCATCATACTCATTACAATTCTATTTGATAGCTAACCGAATTAAACTGACCATAGTAAGATGACTACTAATTTTAACAGTCTCTTTTATTTATTATACTAAGTACTTTGTTCTATTTAATGATTTTATGAAAAAAATTACACTTGCAAATATAGCTTGTCAAGTCAAAAGTTTTTTTTTGATAGAGTAAATAACTAAATATTTTAAATTTCCATGTTCATAAATTTATATAGTGCAATGTGATGAAATTTATCCTAAATAATGTGATATATATTGGAGTAACACATTTCTAACAGTTTAATAACATCAACATTCTAAAATATTTGTTTATCATATAGACTTGGAACAATAAAATTAAGGAAAAATTATCAATCACGTATAGAAGCATAAGTTTAGAGATTAGTCAATTGTGAATTAAAGAAAATGACTAGTAGGTTTCTATATTATCTGAAATGTCGTAAAAATTAGCTGCAGAAATATGTTTTTACATGGTTCAAAACATTTGAAATGACAACGAAAATTGAGTTTTTACTATCACAAAGTAAAAATAATGATTAAGCACATCAAAAGCTCATTTCTATTTCTGCACAATTTGTAAATAAAACGCAAGTCCAAACTTTAAGCGCTTAAGCTTGATTGTTAACTTTAAATCCTGAATTTAGAAATCCAAATGTCAAATCCTTACTTTAATAAGAAGCAATATATTCACACACTCATATGGGTTTGAGAAGACGGATAATCACTATTCGTGGTGATTAGCATATGTCGTTATCTTATCGACTTACAGCCAGAAGGACTGGTAAAAGATATGAATAAATTATATTAAATATATTTACTATTTCAGTATTTGTTTATTTTCCATAAACTATTTAATCAGAAAGACTGTGTTTCTGATTAGCCATTGGCTAAATAATAGTTGCTGCAGTTGTTTTAGGGTTCATCCCTATACTACTACATCTTTACCATATCACACCAGTCCGGATTTGAAATTAAGGTCAAAATTACTATGATAGATCTAAAGTATAGTGTGGTTTAGAACACAATGTGATTTCTGAATTTTAGTAGTCACTTTATATTAATTCTGTGGAACATGATAAAGAATAACTTAAGATCAACCCTATGAAAAACGGACAGTTTAAACTGGCCAGTTGTATCTACATTAAAATTGCTCGAGTAATACTAATTTTAGTTTTATATTTCTAAATAGGCGCGATGCATGTTTTTTTTTTAATTATCTAAGTATATCTCTTCTGAATTACTAGAGTATACAAGAAAATAATCAATTACATAGTTCGTCTTCTCAATATACTTATCTAAATGAAAATTGTATTGAGTATTAAAGTGGTATTTTACCAGTTAATGACATCAATTATTAAACACCAAGTTGTTAGTTTGGAACATTCAAGCATATTAATTTCGTCATGCATTCATAGACAATAGGTAATAAATACATATACACATTTAAAGCAAACGTAGGGAACAATGAATTCCAAGCATGACGACTGATATGTTCAGGGAAACACTAAAAGCGATGCTATTTTTTGTAATAAGTTAAATACAATCAAGCAGATTTAATAATCCAATCAATGTATATTTTACACATATGAAAGTGCAATTGTGCATATAAATATGTGTAAAAATATATTTTATGTGAATATGAAAGAAATCATAGAGTAGTATAATTTTTAACAAATAAATATAAATGTATTTACATCGTCGTCTCAAATTTCCTCGACCATCGAAGGTGATATTTGCTAAAATCAATAAATAATCAAGTTTATTTGTTTATTTTTTTTTAAAAAATAACGAAAGAAAAAATTTACTAAAATAAACGCATAAAATAAATTATAAAAACATAACTAGAGAGTTCGAGAAATCGATTCAGTTATTGACATCTTTTTTTGGCTATTCGATTAAACAACTAAACGGAATAAATCAAGATGATATAACAACGTAATTATGGATCAATTTCAGATGCTTTAATGCTTAAATTTATGCCTTACAGTAATTGAATATTTCTTTATTACATTTGAATTTATATCAGGATATAAGATGTTGTAAATACAATTAACTTATCGATGACAGGAAATCCATAAAATAATTATTACTATTTAAAAGTGAAAATTTTCCCCACAAATAATAGTTGTTTTTCTTTTTTGGTTTACTAAAAATAATTAATGTCGGTCATAAAATCAAAATATATTTTAGGCTGTAATAAAACAAGTGATTGCTTTTAATGAATTTTTAATTGTTCATTACTGATAATAACTATACTAAAAGCCATCCAGTATAAACTGGAAAACGTAGTCATAAATTCCCGTTAAATTTGAAAGTTCATTGATTACCCTTTACTAGGCTGTCAAAATACTTAACAATTGTTTACTTAATGAACATTTTTACAAAATAAAACCATGATAGAACAGTTTACACAGTTAAGATTGATAAGAAAAAATCTATGATGTTATAAATGGGCATAAATAACATAAGGTGATTGTGAAAAACCACATGAAACGCTAAGTTGATCAAAATCACATAGAAAAGATGGAACAATTCAAACTGATATCTTTCCTGTGTCTTAAATACAATTTTTCAAGTAAATCAGGTTTGTAGAGTCATAACAATTACGGTATTATTCAGGTTTTGTTAATGATGTCAAAGTCTTACTGGAAAAGGTTATCATGAGCGCCGTTTTCTTATTCAACCTTTCTCTCGACCATCATCCTAATCTGTCTGGCTGCCACTATCTTTTATATACCAATTTATTGTGTATATTTTGCTTGAATAATAAGTTTTTCATATTTCATATGTTTCTGGCGTCAGCAGACGATTGTTGAAGTGTTATGTACCAGTTTTCCTCATCGATTCCTTCATAAAATCCATTCGTATGAGAATAGTCCAATCATTCCCTTGGTGCGCACGTATCTTAGACTAATCGAGAAAATCCAACTGTAATAACTTTAATGAAGATTTAACAGTTATTTATTTACTAAACATTTTAAGTACAGATCTGAGGTACAAGTACTTCAGTTAATCACGATTTCTACGTAGGAAGTCCTTAAACCGTCATTTTATTGACCAGGAATTATCTGTTACTTAAGAGCAAGACCCGGAAACAAGCATATCTGGATCCAAATGAATGAATTTCCGTAAAACAGTATTTTTATTTCATAGTGTCAAAATGGATTGTGAATCTTGAAGATTTTGTGAAATATGCAAAACTGCTGTACATAACTATCAGTTACAGAGATGATAATTTAAGTGATATGTGTATTCATTGGTCAATAAGTAGTAAGTAATTTAAACAATTCTCATAGTCGCTCAGGATCAATGAAATACTACAGTTATAGAAATTCACTTCTGAATGTAACTGAAGGGAATGATAAAGTATGTCAACTATTGACAGTAAGCACTCGTGTATAAAAGAACTGCTTTTTATGAGTTCAGAAATAGTAAATAGCCATGTTTACTGACCGTATTTACACTAATCGCTACAAATAATTGGTTAATAACTTTTTGAGTGCCATTAACCAATCACACTCAAGATGGTTGAAAACGAAATGACGTTATTTTTTGGTGAAATAAAACATGAATACTTTGATCAGAAACGCCCTGACATAAAACTACCATTTAACATCATTTGAGTTTTTATGAAACAGAATCAGCTGTTCAAAGAATGAACATGATACCAAAATTAAGCCTCTTCCAATTACAAATAGAGTCTATTTTCAAAACTGCTTCTAAATAGACTGGGTGAAATTTTTACTACAGATTGACAACATCAATGCTAAACTAACACTTAAACATATATCTATATATATAAGGAGTGCAAACAAACCTTCTGCTGTATAGATGGTATCCAAAAACCAATTAAAGATACCAGCTGTTATTCGTGTCAGTAATTCCTAAACAGTAAATTAAAAAGTGTGTAGAATGAATGAAACATGAGTATGATTAATCGTTTATTATCTCTCTAAAATATGTAACGTAATCGAATCATGTAGACAGATTTTCAAGTTTCCCCATTATCTGCTTGGTAGTCGATATGAATTTTGCAGCCGAAAATATTTCAAAGTTATCAGTAAACAAATAACTGTGAATTTATTTCATGTTGCCAAAGCTAGTGATATTAAATAGTTGAAACTGAAACTATGTATTTCAAAAAATATTCAGTACTCAACAGTTTATAGTGCATCTTATCTCTTACTCTCAATCATAAATAAATTTTCTTTTTTATTGTTCCATCTTTTGAGTTGTACACATTTTAGTTAGTGAGTCTTTCCGCTTGTACAATAGTTCTTATGTAACTTATAGCATCTACTTTCACTAATTATTAATTTATCTTCTGGGACTTTAGGTTTTTTTTTCTTCCTAGATTTAACAGACTGGTCAATACATTAATAATCGACTGTTTGAACATTTTTATCATTCTTTCACAGTTGTATAAAATGACAGTTTCTTATTCTATCATAAATTTTGCAAATCAACAAGTATATTCGCATAAAAACGACTTCTCACGTAATTCCTTCACTTTACTAAACTACTACAGAATCAAACAAATTCAATCAGACACCATAAAAGTAAAACAACCTATCGAATATAAGTTTAGAGTTTATACACAACCAACCTGTATGTACTGCATGCCGTCATTGTGTCTTAACTTGAATTGTTAATTTTAATGTTTTGGGAAAAGAGAAAATTATCTACAACTGTTGATTAGTTAATAGACATAACATGACAATATAAAATCCTATTAAAACATTGCGATTCATAGATTTTGAGCGTAAATATTTCAAGTAAACTTACAAGATTAATTCGTTCACGTGGTCGACATTTTTCACCCACTAAGAAAGCACCATATATGGCCAAAACTCTATGATCTTCATCACGATAACGACCAAGTAATGTAATTGCCCCAGTTTCTGTTCCAGTATTGTTAGCAAAATCGTTAATACCAGCAATTCCACTATTAGCAGTATAGCTACCATAAACTGTTTGACTACGAGTTATTGTTCCAGTCTGGATTAAAAATATGCATAAGTGTTAGTCGATTCACTTATATTTCATGAAACAATAATAATACTCATTTGTATCTGATATAATTCTTCGAATTTCCGATTATATATACAAATAACTATACAAACAAAAATCTATGAACTTAATCCTCTGTTAAACTTACTACTGGGTTTGTTCCAAAATCACTGAAACTTGTTTGTCCTATAGTACCTCCGCCAACTTGTACTGTATTTGTATTATTCCCAGGATTACCAGGTAGATTTGATGAGATCAAACTTCCGCCACTTAGTCCAAGCATAACCATTTCATTAGTGGATGTCGGACCTCCAGGGGCAGAGGAACTTGGGCATGTTAAGCCAGCAACTGCTCTGTTAGTACTTTCATCTCCATTTTCAACTCCACCTAGTAATACTTGTCGCCAACGTGGCATAGTTTCTAATGTTAACGAAACTATTGATTGAATCATACAAGGTTGAGAATCAATTGACATATCCCATACATCTGGTAGTGAACTCTGAGAATAAATGAATAGTAGAAAAAGTCTGTCAGACTATTTTTTTTACCATTTTCATTACAAGACAAAAACAACAAAAGATTACTTCAATTTATTGATGAAGGAATATTTACTATTTAAATGATTTTATTAATTAATGGAAATGATTGTAAAAACGGAATGTAAAACAGGTTTTGATGAAATAAACTTCACTCTTCTGGTATATAATTAATAATACATATACGAAATGCTAACACTTATATTTAGTATTTTTCGGCTCTATCAAAAATCAGGAACTATTACTGAGTTGTACATTTGGTTATATTATATAGGTTCATAGTAAACTGTAAGCCAATTTCCAAGTAAATTGAAATAAAAAGATTTTAATCTTTTCACTGATTAAATTGGACACCTTCAAATCTTGAACAATACCAAAAGTAAATGTTCCGACTTCAATTTTTTTTCAATTTTTTAAGACAATTTTATGTATTACATTTTGTATTTATATGCTTCTTAGAGTGAGAATTTGTGGATTCTATAGCCAAGTATTTTTTGTTAAGTTATTTTAAGGTAAATTAGGTTATGAAGTAAAAATTCCTGCAAATTTATGACTCGATGACACCTAAACTTTGCTTCAACTTAATTATTCAAGCTTGTAAGCAAAATCTAATCTGGCAATAGAATATTTCTTAGATTACAGATTCAAAATATCTAGTTTTATCTTAAACTACTCTAAAATTTAATAACTTTGTTGTCATATGTAATTATAGACAATGTTTGAACTTTACATGTTTGTTTTTCTCGAATAGAATACTTCTCAGAATCATAACAGACAGAAAAGTAATTAGTAATCAAAGATCTCTAGTCTTTTACCAAAAACTCGTGGATAATTTGATATATCAGTAGACTATACTGTGTATACTATTTTGTCATAATATTTTTGTATAGATATTTGAATTCGCATTAAATAATAAAACATTAATTTGATTTTATACATCAGTTACTTTGTATTTCTTAGGGTTATTTAGTTGATAACTGTGAATAAGTACTTATAGTGAATGAAGTATTCATCAGTCTACAGTATTGTATCATTTGTCATCATCAATAGATATGAATTCTGTTTGTGCATAAAAAGTACTTGCGTTATATTAAAATCTTATAGTTGGATTTGAATAAACTGAATTTATAAGATAGACAGTGAACAAACAATGAACAGAATATATCAAAATGCATCGTTCCTAATTAAATAAAGACCATAAATATTTTGTGTAAGCTTAAATTTAAAGTTATAAAATATATTTCAAAGATATGATAATCTCAGTGTATTTGATAGGCATGATTTAAGAAATAAATGCCTAAGAATTTATCCAATGGTTCTACGATTTATACTTTAATACCAGACATCTGACGAGATTTCTTTTAACAAGAAAAATAAACATGACTTTGAATTGTTTGACCATAAATAAAAATATATCTGTCTTTTTGATGATTTAAAATATCTGATATTTGATTACTATCTCATATATCAAAGCCATAAGAAACAAATTTTAAAAACAGTATGAAAACCAGACAAATACATTAATATCAGAAGCATAAGAAAAAAAAAGTATAATGACACTGTAACAACAACAAATCAAAGCGAAAAGACAAATCAACATAAAAGAGATAATATGAACTTATCAGATTCGAAAGACTACAAAAACTAATTACATTTCAACGATAATTGATCTCAGTTAACATCAACAAGTTTTGTCAGATAATTATATCGAATAGCTTAGAAACACTTAGAGGTAGCCTCTTATCTCCCTTCACAACTAAATATATTTCGTATAGCCTAGATGAAACAGAATATGAATGAAAAAGCTTACAGTTACATTGTAGAGCAAAATGTCACTGATAAACAAAATTGTTGAAATCAGTATTCAATTTATTGTTAAGATGTCATAACTTTGACTGATGATTTTCAAGTTTTTAAGTTGTATCCTGTGATACATAATGTATGTGTTTAGTACTAAGAAATTTATAACAGAATGACAAAATTATTTTGCATTATTGAAGATTCACCAGTTTTCTGATTGAAATTAAATCTTGTAAAGATTTAGTTTTCACAAAGCTTTATGTCTTTCTTAATTAAAATTGATAATAAGATGAGGTTATTAAGAAACAAAACGATAGCCAAATGCAGTTTCGAATCATGGTTTCAAAAAAAATGTAGTTTTATCAACAAAATACGAAAATGTGTTAGTGCAATCAAATTAAATAACATACTTGATAAATGTGTGTTGTACTGTGTTCATTTTCGTCATCATTATCGTTGTTAATTCCATTAGTATTAGTAACTTCAAAGACAGTAGTAGTATCTGAAGTATTTTGAATTAAATTCGTTTCCATTTGTTTTGTGTTTCGGTCAACTGATGGCTGATTTATATTGGGATAAATATGCCTCATTGTATGGCATAATTCACACAGCCTTATCGCTCTGTTCCCAGTCAAATATGTACAACCAGCAGACCAGCATGTAACAGAAGCTGAGTTATTTTTACTACGACATGTTTTTGACTCACATGTTAGACTTATCTAGAAAAAATTAAGTTAAATATCAAAGAGATCATTAGAATACTGTGTTAGTGATTTGAATAGCAGTATATAAAATGGAATTACTGAATGATAGGAAACCATCAACCAAACTTTTGTGTTTGCTAAGACACAACATCAAATATAGACCAGAAGAAAATAAGACCCCCCCCATTGTACATAAACCTGTGCTGTTCAGCTCTGTAATCATTGATGGAAATCACTATTAAACCGACCATTCTTGAGAAAACTAGAAAGACTTGTTTTAACTACGATGATGCCGTTGTCAGTTGTTCACAGTTTAATTTGGGATAATGCTTAATTTAATCATAGTGATAGTTTGTTATTTCAGTTGGAACCATTTCATATACTTCAAACTAATTGAGAAACAACAACTATACAGCTGACGGACAAACTTTAACCTGAGAAAATAAAATAGCTGTATGGAAACTGGTATTACGAAAAAATAAATTTATTTTTTCACAAAATAAGGGAAGTGTTATATGTAATATACGAACGACTGTAAACATTACGTACATTTTCTACTTTGTAAGTCAAATACCGATGGAGTTAAGCAGAAAATGCATTTTTAAAGTTGTGTATTCTGGGTTTAACGAACTAATAGTGACATTTTCACTGCCTTTCCAAAAAATCACTATAGGACATTTTAAAAACCGAAATGAGATAGAACAGTTTTTCAACAAGTGTCTAAAATATGCGAAATGATTAGTTGCTTAGTACTTTACTCTGACCTGATATTTTATCTTGCAGTTGGTCCCCATTTCTTTCAATGTCTGGTGGGAAACAGCCATACTTGGCAGCGGCTGAATCATATAATAAAGCGAGTAGAACTCAAAGTATCTGGACTCGAAGAGACAGTAATATGTCTCATGACTAATCTAATGGCATTTGAACAAAGCATCAAGTTAAGTTAAATAACTGATGGACCACTTTTTGAACCTATGAATTACTGGCTATAAGGCTCGAACTTCTCTCTACACTAGCTTTCCATCCAGCACCATACTACTAGACTTTGATACAACTGATATTAAGATTAGCTTGACAGTAAGTGTAATAGTCAACAATCAACAACCGACAATTTATGTAAGTACAAAGGGCAGTGAATATATATAGGTCACCTAAAATACTTGTCAGATCATCTATCAATCGTCTGGGTAAATAACCAATCACAATTTTCTTTTGCTCACACGACATTACTCAAGAATCATTTGCGTGATCTTTGAATTATTGAAAAATTACCAGATCATTTATGCTTGAAAATAACTCTTAAGTAATTTTTTTATGGTAAAACTGGAAATGTCTTCCAAACTTACATGTTTTGTAGGTAAAAGAATATCTGTCAACTGATCAAAATCTAGACGATTTAATGCATCAGCACAATCTAAGCATACGTACAAAGGTGGTGGTTTGCCACTTTGTTGAATTGATATTTTCGGGTTAACAGTCATCTATAAGAAAACGTGTATGATAAATATGTTATATATTACGTCATAGTAATAGCTGATCAAATATAATTGATTATGAAGGCAAAACACATAAATCTAGTGACATGTGCAGTCCATTTCACTATTGTCCAAATTGCAACAACCGTCATAAAACGACTTATATTTTATATATTCACTAAACGATTTTAATGCTTTTATTCACAGTTAATAAAAGCATCCAACCTAACTATTATAATATGTCCAATAGAATGTTGATTTCAAAACTGTTAAGTTTTTATTTTATTTAGGAGCAAGAGAATGTACAATATGAGAAAACGGGTGATAACGGATATCAAAATTTACGGAAACTAATACAAATCCAAAACGTTACAATTCTTTTACTAACATTAAAGACGAAAAAATAGTGTTTAAATTAATGCGTTTATCGTTTTGAGGAAAGATAACAGCATTACTCTATACAAATGTATTCATGCAATGAAAGCTGCCTTGAGAGAGAAATTATCAAGATTAGGCTGGTTACAATGATTGTGAAAAAAATGAAGTATCCATGTTTTACAAAGGCACAGGTAGGTGAACATTAGGAAACTTCAGAAATGAGAAAGAATGCACTTATGATTGGGAATATTAACAACAGTTTTACTGAGTATAAATTTCAAACAAACATAACAATTCTAAGTTTCCTTCACTGGATATTAACAAGAGATTAATAGTTTTATTTTAATTCACTCAGTGGATGGTGCCCATTCCAGGAATAGACGATCCTCTATTTGATCTGATATCATATAGTTTTTTAAATATGTTCTAGACCCAAATCGTTTTCAGATTTATGTGTCTTCTTCGTAATATTATAGAAAACTTCGAATAATTCGTATGGATGAAGCTTTTTAAATTATTAATTCAGTATATACTTCACATAAATAATAGAGATTCAACACTATATAACGACTACTGTTCCTTTTATTAGTCAACTACTAATGAGTAGTAAGAGGTGAGGAATTTTAGTTAATCTTGTTGATGTTAATTATGCGAACTTACCTTCATTGCTAAAGCTTTTCCAGTTTTATTAGGACAATCATTTCTGTAACACATAATCGGTTTCCAAGCTGACAGAAGAGAGAAATATTATACATGATTAGTTTATTAATTAAAATCCAACATGGGTTATTTTTGAATAATTTTTCTGAACATGTTTACGTTATTTGTAAAATGAAGTATGAATAAAACAATCAAGACAGTAGTGATTACAATTATTTAAGAGTAACATTAGTGAGTTAAAGTGAAAATTATCTTATGGACATTAAAGTGAATAAAGTTTAAAATATTTCCAGTTATCGATCTGTCATGTTATCTTATTAGAACAGATACAATTATATGCTACGTCGTTGTATTATTTTACTTTTATGGGGAGATGATAATTGCTGATTAAAGTATCAAGAAGTTATAATTGCTAATACCTCGAAATAATAAAAACACAGATATACTAACATTATCAACATAGAGTTTAGTACAGATGCAATGTTGGCCTTGATTGCCATATCTGAATAGCATGACGAGATTAAAAATGTAAAGAGGAAATCTAAATAATGTAGTAGGAGAAGTAAACATCAGGAATATGGTTCGAAAAATATATCGGAACGGTATGAATGAAGGTATGGTAGAGTTTAAGAACGAACGAGAAATATTGATGACATTACAATTTCCTGAGACAAAGATATGGCATAATTAACTGAAATAATAAAAGTCAACAGATTAGGCTAAACACAAAAGAACAATGAGAATGATTCCCTCCCCCTCTAGAACTTCATGCCTTATTAGACCACAGTGACATTAAGATAGAATACTTAACTTTGGACAAGAACTATTATGACTGAACAAATACATAATTCTTTGTTAGTGTGGGGTTGTGAAGATTGTTGAGTTGCATTGAAGTTACGAATAGACCAATATTAGACGATAATTGAAGACCTGTACAATCATTTCTTCTTAGTATGGGACTCATCAGAAGTGCGCATTCACGACCCCACATGCAGGAATAGAACCTAGGACTTTCCGTCAATAGATATTATTTTCAAACTACCTATAGTTACAAATGGACTAAAACCTGTTCAGTAACTCATATTGATTGGTTAGAGAACAAAAGTAACTGTTCAGTAGATTCATTCATTTTATGTAACAAACTGAATGAGAAAAATGTCTGTCTTATTGATCAATTAGCATTTTACTAGTCCTTCCATATCACTCTTTATATTAGTTGTTATAAAAAAACCTTTTTGTATATTTACATTCCCATGTGTAATGTATTGGTTGTAACACTTGATTTCCATAGAATACCGTTGGATAATTTTCTGGCCAATAATGAAAAAATAAGCAAACAGCTGGAAGTCTAGCTTCTGTTGGTCCATAAGCTATAATCATCAATAAATCCTAGATTGGAAATCAAATTATAAAGAAAAAAAAATCAGTGTAAATAAATTATCAAAATAAAATATGCGAATGAAACAATGGCTAGGATAATAATAATAATAATTACTATAATAATCGTAATAATAAAAAACTTATTCTGAATCCGATTAAAAGATGAATAATGTACTCTGTGCCCTTTTAGACTGGTCTGATTCGATACATACTACAGTTACATGGTTGTTGATTTGATAAATATCAGTACACCTCTGAAGAAAATAAAATATAACTTACATTGAAAATCCTTTACTTACTTTGTATAAATCTTTCTTTCTGGACATAAAGCTCTCTAATACCCAAACATGATATTCTAAAATTTAAGGGAAAATATACATGGATAATACACTAACATTTTATTGGTCATGATTAAAAATTAATTAAATATTTACAAAGTGGATTTATTTAAAAACATGAAATTTCGAAGCATTTAAAACTTGCTAAGTATTCACTGAATTATACACTATCTCGATTGCTGAAAGCAATAGTCTACCATAAGCTTTTAGTTATTCTAGTAATTTTATTTTTATTATTAAAGAACCATATAAAAATGGTTACTCTTGCTGACAATGGAAACTTTTGTCAGTTGCCTTTTCTGATTATTTAGTGCACTTGCATGTAAATGGTTTGTTTCCTGACTATTCGTGACTGATATTTTGTAAGGTAGTTTACTAATTATGGACATAACTAAAGAGCTTGGTGATGAAGTTATTGAAAACAATATTTCTCTTAAATATTCTTTGTTTTTGAATAACCATTGGGGGTTTTCAAATTAATAATACAAACATTTAGATATTTTTCATTGAAAATAAATGATTCGAGTGAAGTTTGGTATGAATTCGGCATATACTGGTGAATTTGACTTGATTTGATAATAAGATGATATCAAAAAACTTAATAAGATTTGAATTTGATTTGGCATCATTTTTTGTCCGAAATCAATTAAATAATGTTGTAATGACTGATATAAATTTATTATTCACAACTGCACCAGGATGAATTAGAAATCCTTAATACCACTCACCTTTGCCTTCCTTAAAAATTATATGAATCGCATGAGTTTATTACTATGATTTTGATGTTTTATATACCTCCAGTCGAATATTTCTAAATATTTTGTTTAATTTAGGCTATCATAGTGTCATCACACTAACATTGATTTATTATTTATTGGCAAACTGCTGGAACAGTTTGAACAATTACTCTTACAATTTAATACTTGTTTAAGCAGAAATGTGTACACTTGGAAATATTCAACACATATTCCCATAACACCTAATCTAATCACGATGTTTTTTATATTTATGGTCATAGCCTCAAAATTTATCCGTTGGGCTAATGAAACAATATACACTGATCATGTTTGATTGTATCAAGTATTTTTGTATGCTTCAGATAAATAACACTGAGCTATAAATATAAATCAACAATAGTAGTTTCAATGAGTTTTGTTATTGAACCTTTTAATTGCTGATGTAGTCTTAGTATACACAGTATCCAAATACTCAATTATTAGTTAATAAGATAATAAATAAAATTACTTATGTCATTTAGATTATATCTTCATATTATACTTATTGACTTACCAACTTTTTCTACATGTTGAAATACCAGTGTTAAAATCGATGGAATACAGTCTATTGCATAAGATTCTTGATCATCTGACATATCTAAATGATGTAATATATATTTATATACTTATAAGTATATGAACCAATAAAAATCTCTGATCCAAAAGATAACGAAGTATCACAAAGTAAAATATGATAAAAATGTTTGAACATTTATTCTTATGGAACACAATCTATTAATTGATGTTAATTTCAATTTAAGGAAATTAATTAGCCTTATCGATTAAAAGGAATAGATACATCTGAATAATAATTTGCTATATTCATTAAAAATATGATAATACTATTTACTAAAATTAAAAATACTTTATTCTTGATTGATTTTTTGGTTATATCTAAGTCGTAAAGGATGATTTTTCTTGTGTAAAATTATAGGACAAAGTTTCCTTCATTGTAAAAAATAGTATGTGAATGTCACTTAACTTGAAATTGATTGTTTAATCCCAATTATGATCAATGAATAAAATAGTGGCTCCTAACTGATAAACATAGAAAATAATAATAAAACTAACAAGATATGATATCACATATTTAGATAACACTATATCTAGGCTACACCTCAACGTACCTGACGGATTTCCGTCTCTGGCGGTAAGGGTGCCCACAAAGGGCTTTCAAGAGCGGAGCTAATACTCAAAAAATCCTTCATAAAAAGGTCGTGCGTAACCGGCCTCAAGCAGTTGTCCTCTGTGCTCTGCGGTCACGCTCCCAGGTCTCCAATCTATCTTCCTTTTCAGGTCCCTCAAGAAACAACCTTCCATGGTGTGGGCAGCCGGGAAGTGACAACCGCCCTCAAACCCGTAACAGCACACGAGACCAAATTGGTTAAAATCAAATCCTTCCTACACCCCATAATATCTCTCTTATCTCCACGACTAACTCTAGTCACATTCCTTAAGCTCACTGCACCGCTAATTCAAACAATACGAGTTCACGAAACGTCATTCCTGGTCTCTTGAAACCCCATTCTAAACTACATATTGGAGCTTTTAATGTACGGACATTGTTTCAAATAGGGCAACAGGCATCATTAGCTAGGACTTTAGAAACTCATGCCATCGATGTGTGCTGCGTCTCGGAAACGCGCATACAGGATTCTAGTAAAGTCATTAACCTGATTCCACCTTTTAAAAACGAAGAAGCACCCCAATTTACTCTTCGTGTATCCGGTAGCCCTGATGATCCTTGCCGGTGTCTCGCTGGTGTAGGTATAGAATTGAATTGTAGGGCAGGATTACCGCTCCTAGACTGGATCCCAGTAGATAGTCGTTTGTGCGCTGTCCGACTAAACGGGACAGTAAAGACTCGGAAGGATAGGGACACTCGCCTTTGCCTCTTCGTCGTATCTGCCTATGCCCCCACTGACTGCAGCTCAGACGATGGGAATAATGAGTTCTACAGAAAGCTTTCGAACCTCCTCCAATAAGCTAGGCTCTCCGATGTAGTTATAATGGCTGGTGACTTTAATGCTCAAGTAGGTAGACTAAGTGAGCAGGAGAGACACTTAGGTGGATATTATGTCGCGGCTCAGAGAACAGAAAATGGCGATCGTCTGTTGCAACTGTGCTCAGATAACCGCCTATTTCTAGCAAACACTAGGTTTAGGCGTAAGGAAAAACATCTATTGACCTGGTGACCCCCGAAGTCATTTCAACGTTGGACTCAACTGATCACATCACCATCAGCCACCGATAGAGGGGTTCGATAGAGGACTGTCGCTCGTTCTGGGGCAAATGTTTAGATTCAGATCATGCCCTAGTGCGAGCGCGTATTTTTTTGAGGCTTACTGGACGTAAGGAAGACACCGTAAGAAAGCCTCTTAGGGTTTTACTTAGTGATAATAATACGAAGAATAGGTTTCAGGAACAACTAGAAAGACAGTTAGGCGACCATTTAAGCGATTCCCATCCGGAGGCAGGATGGAATGATATCAAGAAGGCTGTGGAAACAGCAGTGATATCTGCTAGTAAGGTTGACCATAGGGCTAGAATGAAGCCTTGGATCTCCGTAGCATCTACCGAACTGATGGATGCCCGAAAACTCATCCCACCTGGCTCTGAACATGATGAAGAGCGAAGTCAGCTTAGGCGCAGACTTATAAAAAGCCTACGTAACGACCGCGAACAGTGGTGGGTGGCGAAAGCAAAAGCGATGGAAAAGGCAGCGGCGATCGGCAACAGTGGACAACTTTTCCGACTTATCAAGCAAACTGGTATTAAGAACCCGAAGGTGAGTGAGACTATCTCAGAAAATGACGGGACTATTATTTGTTCTCAATCCAGGAGACTGGATCGATGGGCAGAACACTTTAGGGATCAGTTCAACTGGCCTCGAGCCACTCTTCGGTTACCCACGATCTCCAGGCATCCTGAATGGCAAATCGACGTAAGTCCCTTTAGTCTTTATGAAGTTGAGAAAGCGTTAGGAAATCTGAAGCGAGGGCGAGCTGCAGGTCCTGATAGACTGACCCCTGAGATATTTAAGGATGGTGGTCCAGTTTTAGCAGCTAGGTTGACTGAGATCTTAGGTAGAATCTGGGAACTGGACGCAATCCCATCCGACTGGTCTCAATCCCTGATTGTCCCAATTTATAAGAAAGGACAAAAGTCTTCTTGTGACAATCACAGGGGAATAAGTCTAACTAATATAGTATCTAAAATATTGGCCTCAATAATATTTCGACGCTTAAAGAAAGCTCGTGAAGAGCAGACTAAAGAAAATCAGGCTGGTTTCAGACCTAGAAGTGGTTGTATAGACCACATCTTCACACCACAACAGGTCCTGGAACACAGACACACATTTAGGCGTCCTACAATAGTCGTGTTCCTGGACCTAAAGGCGGCATTTGACTCGGTAGATCGTGAGGTTCTGTAGCAGTGTCTGTCATTGTAAGGTGTACCAAAGAAGTACATTAACCTCATACAAGCTCTCTACTCGAACACCACTGGTCGAGTGAGAGCTTATGGCGAGCTGTCATCGGAATTCTCTACTTCAAGTGGTGTCCGTCAGGGATGTCCACATTCTCCATTCTTGTTTAATTTTATCATAGACATGCTCCTAGAAATAACCTTATCCTCATCTGAATTTTCTGGAGTAGACCTTCTACCAGGTGGCTCGCTTATTGACTTAGAATATGTCGATGTCATAGTCCTACTTGGTGAAGACGCTGACAAAATGCAGAGTCTTCTGACTACCCTAAGCAACAATGCGAGCATGTTCGGGATGCGGTTTTCCCCCTCGAAATGCAAAATGTTGCTTCAAGACTGGTTTGCATCGGCACCTGAACTAGTGATAGGGAGTGAAGTGGTCGAACGTGTAGACCGCTTCACGTATCTTGGGAGTCTCATCAGCGCTGATAGCCTGGTGACTGACGAAATCTCAGCACGGATACAGAAAGCTCGATTGGCTTTTGCCAACCTGCGTCACCTATGGCGCAGGCGATATATCCGCTTGTTCATCAAAGGACGAATGTAATGCACAGCATTTCGCTCTGTCCTACTATACGGATGCGAAACATGGCCTTTAAGAGTAGAGGACATTCATCGGTTACTAGTCTTCGATCATAGGTGTATCAGAAGTATTGCTCGTGTATCCTGGGACGACGGAGTAAGTAATGTTATCGTTAGGAAACGAGTTGAGTAAAGATGGCAAATCAGTGGATGAAGCATTGAAACTTCATCAGTTGAGGTGGTTGGGACATGTGTTACGTATGCTGAACCACCGACTGCCACGACGAGCTATGTTTTGTGGTGTAGGAGTAGGTTGGAAGAAAGTTAGGGGCGGCCAGACCAAAACACGGCAGCAATTCATGATGTGACTGACAAGTGGACTGAGTCATGTCGGTAGATGTAGACTACTTGGTTGGGGTCCGCGATACGAAAGTCAGCAATGGTTAGAGACCTTGAACGACATGGCTCAGAATCGTTTGCAATGGCTCAGGTGCATCCACTCTTAGTGTGCTTTTTAATTCTAACCTTCTGAATTCCTCATAAGCTCTATCTTTCTCCTTCTAAATTTATCTCACTGAATTATACTTTTCGAATGATATTTTCGCTCCCTAATCTTCCCCACTGCTGCTAATACTTCTACTATCGCTATCACTCTTGGATTTGAAGTGACAGTTACGTCTCTGTGCTGACGTGGTATGGAAACGTGAACTGATGTACTTATGTACGAAGTTCTGCGTTGTATCTGTGTGTGTGATGATTGACCTTAGCTCTAAACTTCTAACAATTCACTAGTGTTCTTTGTGCTCCCTATATCCAGTATTTCAACATTGTTCCAATCGAATGTATCTCCATAGTTATTCGTACGTATTGATAGGAGCGAGGAAATGTCGTGGCGTTTGATTGCTAATTGATGTTCACGTAAATGTAGCTGAAGAGGACGTCCGCTTTATCCTTGTCAGCATATTCATCCAATATCCTAAGATAATTGTTGGTCAGTTCCTTTTGGTTAAGTCCTACTGGTCAATTTTATGGTCGTCCTAGATATCAATGTCATGTACTCCAACGTTGTCTCCTATTTGTTGAATTAACTGTCAATGTCACGGACTTTGATACTGTTTCATATTCGACCTAAATGTATAAATACGCATTATCTGTAACGTTTTATGATACGGCCCGGACCTGGATCCCTAGTGCGGGATTCTGATTCGCTTCTGGACTCGGGCCTCGTACTTTCTGGATGTTTGTAGGATACAGGTTCTACTTCCTATCAAGTCTTCTTCTTTCACTCAATGGGGGTTTGGATACTCGGATTAGATTAGCATGTGGTGTTGCTGGATCTTAGATCATCAATCTCGTTTTCCGACTGAGATAAACTTGTAATAGTCCAAGCATATAAAATTGATATGTGTACGTTCATGCGTAAAATCCTAAGTAGTGATTTCGCAGTCTTAGCAATTTATTTTTTAGATTATATTTGGTTTTTCTTCTCTTGTTATTTTTTCCTTTGGTCTACATAGATCTTATTGAAGTAATCCTGTTGGTTTTTAAGCTACACCTATTCGAAATGGTCTAAGTAGTCGTGATTCAAGTTCCAATACGTCTTTTATATATGATAGGATGATACTTTTATTGGTTTCTGCACTCGATTTCGCTTCTATTGACGATTCCAGCTGACGTGTTTTGATTAAGTCGCGCCCTTTGGGCTGTTGGGCATAGATGATCACTCAATTGTACAATCTTTTATACTGACTTTATTGACACAAATCATTTCCATGTTCTTTTCAAATAATACTAATTATATCAGAAACATAATTATGACAAATAACCCCAAGTACAAAGCAATATGGGGAATATTTCTGTTTATTATTTCTGCAAATTATTTCTTTATCAGCCGAAGTATCTGGTTAAACTTCTCTTATTTCCAATGTTTTTTAATGATAATTGATTATAGCTTAAGCATCTCATATCTATACACGGTAGAAAGTTATGGAGCCTGAGTATCTTTATCGTGGTTGAAAATGTGCTAATTAGGTTGACTTAATTAACCAAACTGTCAAAACTTATGAATTACACCAGGAAATCCCGGCAGGAAAGTTCGTAATAACTGTGTGCGCTTTGTTTCCCTTGCTATACTGATCATTTAGTAACATTCTTTAGCAAAAATAGGTCACATCGACTATAGGATCATTAATTGATGTAGCACGGAACTAGCTTATGCATAGTCAATCGATTGAATAATCCATCAATATTCGTCCAAATACTAAGAGTATATTCAAAATTTGTCTGACTTATTGTCAAGCTTGGTATTTGAAGGAGAAAATATTCAATCATTCCCATAGTAAATAGAAAACTACAGTGTTTTTTTAAAGCTGAAACGATCAACAGTAGGGTCATAATTTGAACGTCGCCAACAACAACAACACAAGTAATATTATAAAAAAATTAGAACATCTGTACAAAACTTATAGGGTTGATAAAAAAACACTTTCTTTATCCTATGTTTATGATTTACGAAAATCAAAACATCATTCTGCATAGAAACCGCAAACAGAAAGTCTGTGACTTACTATAAATCAATGGTACCACCACCGAACATAGCAGATCAATAACGCTAGACTGCATATTTGACGGAAAATACAGTAACATCCATGTGACGGCTAACGGTACACCTTCCAAACAATCATAATCCAAACAAAATATAAGACTTTGGATTGTACGTAGTAAGTGTTCACAGACAGCTGAGAATGTACAAAAAGGCGAACAAATATTAGAGCGTGACCTGTTTTGTATGCGTTTAAATTGATAATATCAGCTTAACTCAACTGTTACTTGGAGTTGTAAAGTAGTATGTTGAGTCAGTGAGGTAGAATCCTTTGCTCAGTTAAACCTGAACTCTATGAACCATAGATTTCCATACACCCATAAATAATTAACTGAACGAGTGCTTCGAAATTTGTCTGCTTTACCGTCTTTTCGAACCTTAAAAACTAGTAGTAAACGGGTTCATCAATAGGCTCATTTATATTTCTAATCTCTCCAGCTCTGGTAGGCTAATGCTTGACAAATTAGCTAAATAACTGCAGAAATTCCATCAGGTTTTCGCCAACTGGCCCAAATGTCTGCTTAGCAGGGATATTAAACACTATACTAAAAGGTAAAAATGCTATGTAGTGATCCTCTATGTTTTAATTTTTGGTTATCCTGATCCCCCAAAATAAGTTGGATACAACGTCCAGTAACTAAATGTCGCAACTGTGACGTAAAATGACGTTTTAGATTGCTTGTTAATTATGGAATGGTTTAGTATTCTATAAATTAGGGTCGTCACATGTTCTTCTAGAACTAAGCAAGAAAATTTACACCTTCAGAAGGCGAATGTTGTACGGTAAGCTTACCAAGAACTCATTTGACGGATACATTCATATTTTTAGAGGAATCAAAATTTCTGTATAATCAATTGTAAAAGGCCAGTCGACTTTGTATGGGATTGTAAAAAAAGACAGGCTCCTACTAAACTGAATTTCAATTAATTCCTTTCAAATTTAATCAACTGAATAATAAAAAGTTAGTCTTTCGAAAAAAGTTAAATAAGATGAAGCACAAATTCCTTGCCAAATCAACAACTGTTAACTGTTGCTGACAAAAATTTTTTAAAGCGTAATAATAATTACCGCTCTGGTTGGTAAGCTTTTGAATGTGCTCTGAAATCGTTAAAAGGCATAAATATAGTGTCCCGTAGTCTAATTGTGGTAAATATTTTGACCTCCACTCCTGATCATTTGTTCTGTTTGTAAAGCGCTCAATAGTGAGGACTTGTATATCTTTCAGTATGCTAAAAATTAATTTTAAACATCATAAAATATACTTGTGTAAGGTGTTTTGAAAAAATTTCAGCAAGCCAGTGATGTCATTTGAAGATAGCAAATTACTCGCGTTGTTCACTAGCTTGGAACAAGCTTCATTCAGAGCCTTGAGCTTTGTGTTATCTATGGCAGTTAATTTACGATCAAATCCTAATTTGACTTACATGCATTAGACTTAATATTTGTCATTTCTACGACTACTCATTCAAAAATCCAAGAGAAGGTCTCATTAAAAGTTAATATAATTAGCCAACTTAAACAATCTATTTATGACCGAAAGAAAAATAAAGCAGTGATAAGATAATTAGGTTAATATGTTGTACTAACTAATCAAAAATAAAGTTGTTCAAAGGACGAGTTTAAGATCTATCTATAAGAATAAACATTTATCAGGTGGTTAAGTTGCAGTTTCGTTTGGTTATCAAAAAATATTTTGGATTCACATCAATGAAGTAGGAGCGATTAAGTAGATGAATTGCAAAGCAATAATTTTGGCCGAAGAGTTTTCATCGGTTGTCCTGCATAAAAAGATAAATAGGACTAAATATTTTGGTTAATTGCTTTTGAAGTTAAGGTTAATCCAAACATAACCCACACTGGAGAATAGCCTTGAAGGTAGAAAATGTGCTAGCTACTTTCATTTACAATAACTCCACGTACTGCATATAGACGGAAATTATTCTCAGTGGCTATTCAGCACACTTAAATCTGGATTTCGTATCTAAGCCATGTTAATCAGTCTACACTACCTAGCTGGGCAGTTATTTAGGTGTGAAACTCTCTTTGTTCGTGATTGACACTACCAGCTCAAGATTCTTGGACAAGGTGATGAATAATAAGTAGTTTTAGGTTTTTCTAATAAACCGTTTAAACAGTATTTTGTCACGAACAGCATATCGGTAGAAATAAGGAAGAGCAAGTTTTGTTTTTATCATCAGACAAATCTCTATATCGAAAATGAGGTAACTTGAAGATACTAAGATAAAGATCACAATCACGCAGGAGAATGGTAAGCTAAGTAACTAACTGTTTTTCGTATATGAATTTATAGGAAATAGTCATTTCCAGGATAATAGTCTCAAAGTTTTACCTTTGAGATAAGGTAGCAAACTGTAGTGTTGAGCAGTATTCCAAGGGAACAATTAATTAATTTTATAGATCTTTATTTGACTATAAACGGATAATCCAACTGAATATTCATGACTTGAATATGGCTTAATAATATGATACTAGAGTCTGCACCGAAGTGGTACTCAAACGAGTCATAAAGAATATTCATAAAAAATCAATACTGTAGTACTCATTACAAACTACGCGATGGCGACTAAATTTATTACACTGGTTTCAAGTAATGTTTTTTGTGGATAATTAGCTAAATGGATATGACTAACTGACTGTTTAAGTGATTTTTAGTCAATGTTTTGGTCTTAACAATCATATAGTTCCTTGTGATCTAACAGTATTTTTCATAGGAAAGTGACTGACGGGCTGTATACTGTTGGTCTTATTACCTTCAGTAGGCATAATCGTTGGAGACGCCCTGTCACACATCGGCACCTGGTCACCATCGGGTACGCTGACCATTGTATTATTTCATGTCAACTAACCGGTCAAGATCGTCCACTTCTCAGCATCTCAAATTTGGTTTACTATGTTCTTCTTCTAAAAGTCATACTATTTTTACTTACTATATGTTAGGTTACGTGTGCTACTGGATTATCAGCTTGCGCCTGCATTTGATTTCGAAGCTACTTCAAATTGAGTCACTTATTTATGATCTTTAAAGACTTTTACAAACTAATTTAACTGTTTAAACCACTTAAATATGAAGATGTAGAAAGAAGATATTATTGATAGCCTACCTTACATAATTTGAGAATTGAAAGTTCTCTATATTGTGATGAAGTTGTGAAACTCAAGGTGTGGGTAACCCTTTCTTAAATTGTTCTTAAGGTTGTTTAAGGCATGTCCGCGCTCACACCTTAAAGTTCACGACGTTGTAGCAGACATTCTGTTTGAAAGGGGCATAAATCTTTTTGATCGAGTTCGTAGACGGGCAACGAAATCGTTGATGGGGTTGAAAAATAAAACTTATGAAGATTTACTCCAGTACTTGGGTTTATTATCTCTGAGTTACATGATAATTAGAGATGATGTGATACGGGAGTACAACATATTAAGCACGCAAATCATCACAACGTGATCATTTTACCGAATAATTACCACGTCCATCGAGAAGATCCTAGTAAAATCACTCATCAATGGGGTAACACGCAGGTTCGTGCTCAGTTTTTCACAACAATAATAATAATTATGATTATTGATCCTCAAATAACAAAATGTTACGAAAGGCATGCCAATTTACGGTCAAGATCAATACTTTAAAATTGCTAACACGTTTGCTGTAAACGGTAGTAAGTTCTGAAATCTTCTTATTAGCATCAGGCTTTTCTCCTTATAATTTCCCACACTGAAAATAACCTATATCTGGCCTGGTAACGTGATAGCTGCTGATATCCATAAACCCTACTGCACTGAAACAGACTTACTCATTCGAATCATAAACAGCTGGCAACTGACTAGTGTTAGGCAGTCAAGTGGCTAGAACCCCTTATGCCGGACAATAATAATTCCTTGGAACCATACCAGAAGATTAAGAATGAAGCGATGAAATCAACTAGTTTATTCTAGCTCGTAGAAACCTTATTGGATATTGGACATTTGACTGCGTGACCTTGGATCGTAAGTGCGGTGGAATATGTGCGAAAATTAAGTCCTGAATCTACACGCAGATTTGTAGATCGGTGTAGCTGCTTGTAATATGTAAGCCATGGTAGCGTTTAATTCGATATTTATCGCACCTACAGCTTTTTTAACGTTTGATAATTCTCATTTCTTTCATTCCAATCTCTCGGTAGTATCAGTATGTGTGCTGTTACGGTATCTCATCTCGATGATTTGATTTGATAAACCCTAATTAATGTAAATCTGTATCACGATAATAATTAACCAACGCCTGTCAATATTAATCATATCTTAATCGTCAATTGTTTCTTTCTTTTGTTATGAATATGTAGCTTCCAAAGTTTCCTCGTTAGTTTTTTTCTCAGTTACAATAATACCTGCCTTAGAGCACTGTTGAAACATGGTTTTTATATACAATGACCTTTGGGTTATTAGCGATCTAATTTCATCAGTACACTCCAATTACTTAAAAAGTTCAAGGTTTTATAATTTAGTTCCTATATGAAGACGTTAATTTGATTTCAATCTTGAAGATCTTTTGATCATACAATGCTACTCATCCTTTCAAAACATCTGGATGTGTATCTCCGTCATGACTACAGTGGTAGGGCAAGTTACTTTGCAGTATGTCCGCCTGCTATTAGACAGGCTTCACAACATCCAGTGGACACACGATAGCGTAAGATATTTTGGAGTAAACAATTTTATTTTACATTAGGATCTATTCAGCAGTTAATACATTGATTTTGAAAAAATTCCATCATTGATGTATTTTGAAACAAATTGACGGTGCTAACCAATTCTTATGCATAAAGCGCACAAAAAAGCTAGAGTAGTAATATTTCATCTGCATCTTCGTACCAAAACCACGTCATTTACACAGTCCTCAAGAAAGCATCCGTTTTAAGGTCTTGACCGTGAAAATTTGTTTGTAATTAAGTTAGATTTATAACACTGCTGGAATAAAATTTTTACATTAATATAGGGTTGTGTAGAAGTATTGGTCTTAGTAGTGCTCACGACGCTACACTCAGGAATCAAACTCGGCCTTCGGGTTTTAGTCAATTCTCATCCCTACTACCCTTACGCTGTTATATAGCCCCGTACACTGGAGTAATAATTCTAGTTATATATGCGCTTCTGTTTAAAAATTAGGAGCATCCATTTTGACATTCAACTTCTGTCCATGTACGACTATGATAAAATACATGAAATCGCTTATGTATTTGTGTCAGGTTCTGGATTGGTTTTGATTAACTAATCCCAGACTTCTGAGAATCATAGTCAGGTTTAGAATATCGTAAAATGGTTTTATTTGCCAAATATATTTCTGCTTGCATCACATTTGTTCAACATTCTTAATCGTCTAACTGTTTTGCTTTTCTTTCAACCTGAATGTCAAACTGACTGATCCTTTTTTGATGACGGGATTCTTATTACTCTGGTTTCTTTATACAATTTAGTTCCTCGAAGATCATACCAATTAACTCACTAGTTTGGAAAGCATGCCATCCGAACCTCTCTCCAACAATTTAATAACAGAAGAAGAGGCTGAACTGTATGACAGACAAATAAGACTATGGGGCCTAGAATCACAAAATCGACTAAAACAGTCTAAAGTTTTACTAATTGGGATGAATGCGTTGGCTGCAGAGATAGCCAAAAATATTGTTTTGGCGGGTATCTCCAGTCTCACAATTGTAGATGATAAACAAGTCACTACTGAAGATTTTGAAAACAACTTCCTGATACCGCGTGAGTGTATTGGATTAAGCGTAAGTAGCAGTTTGCTCCTTTCCGACAACTCTACATTTTTTTAGCGTGCCGATGCGGTTATTGCCCGTACTCAAAGCTTAAATCCAATGGTTAAAGTACAGTCTTCTGTAATAGGAGATGATCTTAAAGAGAAAATCCAAGAATATAATTTGATTATCCTTATCACCGAATGTTCAAGCGTTCATTTTAAACAGTGGTCAACTACATGTGATATTGTGAGTAGCATGGACATGGATACAAGACCATATATAATATGTGCATCAGTATGTGGATTGTTTGGACTCGCGTACATAGATCTTGGCTCGCATGAGTGCTTGTCGTAAGTACTACATATTTCGGTTCACTTTTTGTTCAGCATTTATATGAATCGTTCAGCTTAAGATTTATTATTCGATAAATCATCGGTTAAGCGAAAGTAGGATTACTTAGGAAAATATTTTTAACTTCTACAAACTAAACTTTTAAAGAAATCGGAAGAAGAAGAAAATATACATCTATCACGGGATTCTGGACTGCTAAATTAGTGCTTGTTATTTCAGCAGTTCATGTTTGTGTCATAGAAATGGTATGTTCATGGGAATTTAGAATAATCCATCCATAATAAGTATGTCTAAAAATTTGACGAGACAAGCGAAAACTCGAGATTGAAGTACACAGTATGAAATTATATCGTTTTGTCATAATAAATTTAAACACCATAATATTTAATTCTAAGTATCTTTTTGCGAATTGGGTGCGTGTATTCCACCAAGATTGCTAGTTACAGCTTGACCAATACGACTAATTGGTCTTGATAGTTAAACACGTTTTAGGTTTCATGAAAGTATGTAGTTGAAAGTATTATTTTTATTGATTTTACTCTAGGAAATCGTTGGAAATAAAGAAGTACTAATAAACTTCAGGTTGATACTATTTCACTCTTCATTCACGAAAGAGATGGCTGCATACTGCTGACTTAAGAAAACTGTAAGGATGGAAAAATTTTTTAACCTTAAGGCTGCATTGATTCTGTTGGTCGTGACGTTTTGTGGCAGTGTCCGTCATGGAAAAGGAATACCAAAGAAGTACATTAACCTTATACAAGCTCTCTACTCGAACACTACTGGTTGGCGAACTTTTACCAGCATTGATTACCTCGAGTGGTGTTCGTCAGGCTGTCTACTTCGTCCATCCTTATTCAACATTCTCATTGACATGCTTTTAGAGAGGACACTTTCGACGTCTGGTTGGCGAAGACGCTGACAAAATGAAGAGTCCTCTGACCCACCTTAAGCAATAATGCAAGCATGTTCGGGATGCGCTTCTCCCTCTCGAAATGCGAAATGTTGATTCGGGATTGTCTTGCATCGGCACCTGAACTGGTGATAGGGAGTGAAGTAGTTGACCGCCTCACTTATCCTGTAACCAGTCCTGATGGCCTGGTGTCTGACGAAATCTCAGCACACGTACAGAAAGCTCGATTGGCTTTTGCCAACTTGCGTCAATTGTGGCGTATGCGAGATATCCGTTTGCTAACCAAAGGACGAGTGTACTGCGCAGCAGTTCGCTCCACCCTACTTTATAGCTGCGAAACGGCCAGTAAGAGTGGAGGACATACGCAGATTACTGGTACTTGATCACTAGTATCTTCTAAGCATTGCTCGTTTATCTTGGGACTATCGTATAAGCAATGCTGTTGTTAGGAATCGGGTACGAGGTAAGAATGACAGATCAGTAGATAAAGTAGTGAAACTTCTTCAGTTGAGGTGGTTGAGACATGTGTTGTGTATGCCTAACCACCGATTGCCTCGATGAGCTATGGTTTTTGGTGTAGGAGGTTGGAAGTAACTTAGGGGCACAAATCCATGAAGTCGCTGACTAATGGATTGAGCCATGTTGGTAGGTGTAGACTATCTGGTTGGGGTCCGTGAGACAATGTTAACCGATGTTTAGAGACTTTGAAAGACATGGCTGAAAACCGTTTGCAATGACGCAGGTGCATGCTTCCTTTGTTTTCTCTGAAGTTCTCATCTGAATTCCTCACGATGTTTTTCTTTTTAAATTTACTTCACTGGATTATCCTTCTTGAGTAATTTGTTCGAACCGTAGTCTTCTCCATTCCTGATCATACTTCTACTACATCTATCATTATGGGATTTGAATGGACAATAGCATCTCTGTGTGAATGTGGTATGGCAACTTGGACTGATGTACGTACGTACGAAGTTCTACGTTCTTGCTGACTGATTGAATATCATCCATGAAATATACTTCTAATTCTTTTGTTCTGGGTCCTATCAATTCGCAATGTGTTATTAATAAATGTGTTTTGAAACCATGTTGATCCTTTTGAAAAGCTTGCTCCTGTAGGATGTATTCACTAGCTTCTTCTATGCAGCTTATATTAATTTAGAAATTTCATCAACCACTTATTTGTAGGTTGAGGCGAATAATGTTTACTAAACTAGTTGATGAAAACTCATTCTAGCCGTAAACATATTGTCAGGAAATACATGAATCTCGTTCATCACGCTTAAAGATACTTCACGCGTTATAAAAGTATCCGTAAGAGTTTAGTATAAAGATGAGTTTAAAACCTCGACAAATTTTTAGCCAGTACCCAGCCAACCGAAAAACAGACTTTGTAAATGGATTGTTTGAGGAAAATAAAACAATAATATTACAAAATGTAAACAGATTTTACATAATTAATGAATCCATATAGGTCTCTAACAGGTTACGCTGCCTGTATTTGAAAAAAAAAACAAGTTCGCGTTTACAAATTGTAGATTATCTGTTTTCCTAGACCCTTATAAGAACTCAAATAGATTTCTCTGAGTCCTTATATCGTCCTTGATAAGTGTCCGGTTTACAGTCATAACTTCCGTTTCGAAACGACATCAGCTATAATGCGAAATTTCTCTGCAGCCATATAGGTGAATGAGTTTCGCTTAAAAGTTCAAGAAGCACTGTCTTATTAGTTTGTCCATAAAATCTAATGTGCTACTTGGTTTCATCTCAAGATTATTGGTTATTATTTAAGGAGACTATTGATCTGCCTGTAATATACAATCTACAGAGACGATTGAGCATTTGATGGCTTAATCAATATTATTTTTATTCCATTATGGTAAGAAGAAATTTTTCACTGTTGTTTTAAACACTTTCAGCAGTATACAAAATTATTTCGACTGCTTGTTATATCTAACGTTTGCATTTCGTGCAAAACTGACTAGCCGATTCCTATACTATACTTTTATCAAAATTTGTGAATCGCTTAATGACTTACTTTCATGTCGGATTCTGATTCTAACATAAACATAGCCGATCCCAAAAGATTCCAAGTGCAAATCAATTCTCTACCGATTTACCAGATTGTTATCTTGAGCAATTGGTGTTCGAGTTTTCTTATGAAAAGAGAATAATAATACATGTATATATCTACTTGTACAACAAGTATAAGCCTTTACGATCGAATCGAAATACATAAAAATCTGTGAATATTCCCTTTCAGCAGTTTTTTAACCTGCATTTTCTTCCACCTTCCCTATAGAAAATTGGTTTTAGAATTATAAAATGGATTTCTTTCAGAAGCTGCTCTTAGAGATTACACTTATACTGTTAGTATTGCCTCCTTACAACAATTTCAATAGTTTTATAATGTTTATTGTTTTCTTGACCATATTAGTGAAGACGTTATAGTAAAGAAAAGATCAATGGTAGGGGTACCATCCAGTTCAGTTCAAAAGTTAAATAAAACAAGTGAAGCATCGAAAACGGAGACAGTACTTGTAAAAAAGGTGATTTTTAAAGCCAATTTTCAGTATTTATATGCATTTACTGTTTCGTTTGCATTATCTTAAGTTATTTTTTTCCAGTATTGATAAATGTACTAAGTTGAGGAAATGTAGTCCAACCAGAAATAGATATTTGACTTTTTAACGAGATGTAGTTTCGTATTCTGTACCCTGTAAATTTAATTTTATGCTTCTCTTTACTGCCATTTGAACTCGTAGAATTTGTAGATGACTGTCAATCTAGCCCAAGAAACTGCATATTGTATGTTTTTCCTTAAAATTAGAGTATTCTCAAGTAGTTTCAGTTGACTTCAGGACACGCTAACAAGATATAATAGAATTTTAAGGCTGAGAAACTCCCTGTGTGGTATAGTGCTAAACATTCAGTCTCATTGTAGGCTATTACGTCAGTTTCTTTTTTAGAAATTAATATTATTGTTTACAGCATCTGAAACAGCGATAAGTAGAATAAGGAAGATTAGCAAGGATGGAATAACAATATCATTAATAATAACTGGGAAAATGAGAAAACTATCTGCATGTTCAGTAGATAGTTGTCAACTAGATATTCTTTTCCTTAATTCTATTCTCATGAATACGTGGATTGATCTTTAAAGTACTGCTGGCTATATAAAACTGAAAACTCTGCTTGATTTTTGTTTTTGGTAAATTTGGCAAACAACTACTGTCGAACAGATAGATATATACATTATAGATAAAAAATATTCTAGATTTAAATTTTCATCAAATGTCTAGTACCCTGTTATTTTAGCAACTTCGTTTCTTAGGTTCATTTACTTTACATTACATAAAACAGAAATTTTGAATTGAATAAAAGGCACTGAAGCTATATGAATCTTGTATACTTCCCAACTAAATTGTATACATCTGAATATGGTTTACTTTCTATGCGTTGTGTGTTTTCTCTTTTGTTGCAGACATTCAACTATTGTCGTTTGTCAGATAGCTTATGTCTCATCTCCAAAACGTTGAAAAATAAATCACATGCTAAATTTATTCCTAAAGGATATTTCCTTATGCAAGGTATGTTTAGTTTAAAAACCTACTATATATAAGTCTTCAGCACATAATTAATGTTGACCACAAAGTTCTTTCACCAATATTTACGTTGTATCCTCCCTTCTAGATACTGAAATTGTTTGGATTCCCACTCCATTCATTAGTAAATATTATCCTTCAATTATGATTAGTCTTTAACTCACATCTGCCAACCCACTAACCTATTTATTTGTTATCAGTGGCTTGTGTTGTACATAGATTCTCTTTGGTTATCACACTAACATCAAGTTGTACAGACTTGTGTGATTAGATGTGGCCAGCACCTATCCTACCTGTTAGAAGACATACAGACAGATACAACGCAGAACTTCGTACGTACGTACATCAGTTCAAGTTACCGTACCCCATCATCTCATAGACGCAACTGTCACTTCAAATCCAAGAGTGATAGTGATAGTAGAAGTATTAGCAGTAATGGAGAAGATTAGGGTTCGAAGATATGATTCGAGAAGTATAATTCAGTGAGATAAATTTAGAAAGAGAAAGATAGAGATGATGAGGAATTCGGGTTATAATTTGAGAGAACACAAAGAATGAATGCACTTGCGCCATTGCAAACGATTTTGAGCCATGTCGTTCAAGGTCTCTAACCATTGGTGACTTTCGTCTCGCGGACCCCAACCAGGTAGCCTACATCTACCAACATGAATCAGTCCACTTGTCAAGGATTTCATGGACTTCTTCCATTTTACGGTGTGGCCGCTCCTAACTTTTTTCCAACCTACTCCTACATCACAAAACATCGCTCGTCGAGGCAGTCGGTGGTGGTTAGGCATACGTGACACATGTCCCAACTGATGAAGTTCCATCTATTAGAAAAATAATATCTTTCTCATAACATTTATGTAAATATAGACTGTCGTGCGTTTGAACTCCACTTCTGTTTGTACAGTTGGCTACCACTAAGTTGGTTCTAATAGTATATAATAACACGCATAACTGTTATTATCGTACTGAACACACGTAACTTTTGAATGGAAGATTTGCTTTCTTATAACTGAAGATTGTACATTTGAGAGGCTTCACTTAACTCCTCAGTGAATGATATAAAATTCTCGTTTGAAACGAACTAATGGACACTACGATTCTATTTAAAGCAGTAAGCTTTAAAGAAAAACCGTGGGGATTGTTCTGTTTTCCCACGACCGCCAAATGATTAGTATGGAATGATTGTCCACTATTGTTTCATGTATGTGTTCATTGAGCGATGATAGAACTGTTTCCTAACAGGACATGGTTCATCAAAAGTGATAACAAGATATTTGCAAAAATGGTTCAAAAGGCTGTGTTCTACACACGCACTAATAATGTAAGTCGTCGTTTGGTTCAGCTGTTTTTAACCTTCTGTCAAAAAGTCCTACTCAATGAATTCATGTAGCAAGACTATTTTCGCAAAATTAAAACAATTGGACAACAAATACTTTATTGATTATCTGACCAAAAAGTTGTTATTTTAGAGGATAACATTTGAAATACTGCTTTGCAAAAATTTCGAAACCCTTCTAAATGTAATACAGCAATCTCTAACATTGATTTTTAGTTGTCATTTATTGTATTGTCTATATCACACTCGACACTTTTTGTATAATCAATGTTATTTAATCTTTAGTTTTAAACCAATGTTCTATCGACGAAGCACCATTTACCTTACCATATTTACAGTCTCAGTGGCAAAAAGTATCAAAGTCTTTGGATGTAGATGAAACAATACTTTCCAATGAAGATTTAGAGTAAGTTATAATCTTACTGTTATCAAATAAAGTGCAGTTATAATATCTGACATTTCAATCCACTCATTTGTAAGCCGTTTTTTATACCCCTAATAAAACTGTGTTAGGAAATTCTAAAAAGCTAATTTCGTTTTGGGAATGCAATCCTATATTACATCATTTCATAATTCGGTCAAAAGAAAGTACAAAATTAACCAAGTGACTAGATGTGATATTGATGAAATAGCCAAATAAATCACCACAGCGCATATATAGGCAGCTCTACTTCATCAAGGCTCCTGAATAAATTACAATATTCCAAAAGTTGCATAGGAGTAAATCGTGGCAGTATGTGACTTTTTCGTTTTGAGATGATTTTCGTAATCTTATATGATGAATTTTCTGCACCCTTGATGCCAGTTTGTAAGCAAACTGAGCGATTTAACTGGTGCGTCTCAGGCACCAAGTCGGACTGAAAAACCATGCCGATTGGCATCAGATACAAACCTAATATATTACAGGTTAGGCGCTCGCACACGAAACTAAAGGTTCTGGTCTAGATTACCGCGTATGAGGTCGTGGACACACATCGTCGAAGTCCCCTAAAAGGACTAAACAGCGGTCCAGCGCCTCCAGGTTTTTAGTGATGGTTTAACTTAGACCGGACCATGATAATGTCTTTATAGTTCGATCACCTACTACTAATTACTACCAACCAGTAGGTCGGAGACAGATTGTTTAGTAAGGTACTAGAACTCAGTAAACTCGTACAGAATTTTAATTTACATCGATGTTTGAGAATGGAATTCGAAACATTATTAATGTCGTATTATAACAATACGTTATTATTGTGCTTCAAACCTTGTATGTTTTCTTCTTAATACTTCACACAGATGTTGTTCTGGTCCTATAATCCCAGCTGTTAATCCAGTACTCGGTGGTGTTGTATCCCAGGAAATAATCAGGGTAAGCAGAATTCATTTCATCACTATCTTTTATAAATCATAATCCCTTTAAGGGGTGCCATGTGAATAAACTGTTATCTTGCATCATAGCAGTGTTAGAAGCCATGACATTATCCAACCATACTTGCAGGCTTATGACGTTAAGTTGCAAAAAGATAAATGTTGAACATTATGCTGATCAGTATGCAAATTTAAATAAACAGAGGATCTAACTACACCATAGGTCAACGTTTGGCCTTGTTATGCAGATCTTCTGGTCAACATTTTCTCTGCTTCAGACTTGTAGATGAAACTTTTAGTATAATAATGGTCTACTAACAAGACTTCATTCAATCATATTACCGATTAGCATAATAATCCAAGGTTAGTAGTGGATAAATATCCGAAATAGTTTTAATTACTTCAATATCGTCCAACCTTTCCTGAGTAAAACATTTTCGCATGTGTTACAAAGACAGTTGCTCAAATGCGTGTCTCGTGGTGAAAAGCGTTACTACGTTGTGTACTGAGATCTTGGTGAACAGCCTGATGTTCTTGTTGGCAATGCAAATGATTAAGTTAACAGGTATCGTTTTAACCCACGAAAATTTCACTTTAATCTACCAGTTGCTTATTAGCTTCCCTAACTATAATCTGCATTTTTAATGTCAATTTTATGGTAGCTAATTTGTAATATTATTCGAATTGACTTTCATAATTGCTAACTTTTCCCTATTTCCAATTTCATAGGCCATAACAAGAAAAGGTGCACCACATGGAAATTGGTACTTTTTTAATGGATCACAGTGCTCAGTTACTGTCGATTGGTTGCCGCCAAATGAAGAGAAGTCATAAATCAGTAATTGTCGCTGCTACCATCGAAAAAAACAAGTTATTTTTCGATTGTGTTTCATGAACATGTATATTTGACTGTACAAGATTAAAAAAATATACAAAAAATAAATAAAACTATGCTTTTCTAATCACTCTCTTCATCGATTTCAATCTCTTCTTTGTTTTTTCGATCGAACCATGTAGGCTCTCTTTCAGGAATACGATTATCATCTTCATCACCTTGTAATTCATCTTCCTCCTCTTCTTCAGACTCTTCACTAGAATCACTGTCCTCTTTACCTTCGGCCTCTGCAGCGGCTTTCTTCCTCTCCATTTGTTCTGCCCATCTAGCAGCCATTGTAAGCAGTTTTTGATTTGGCTTTTCTGCATCTGTATCGGGGAATGTATACTCAACATATTCTTCCCAACCGCTACGTTCGTCACCAAGTCGGCGACTGCGAATGACCTTCTGAGGCTGTAGTTTGTCAACATCTCGTTGTGTTTTTTCAGTTCCGTATTCATACTAAAGACGTTTAAATTTAGAAAGGGATCAAAGTCGAAAGATATGATCTCTAAAACCTTAGAAATAGTATTATATCAAAGGTCATCATTAATACTTAACAGCGGCTAGCGTAAAACACAACATGACAATTACTTTAGACAATAGCTAATTTGCAAACACCTCACTACAACAACTTTGCGCTGGATACTATAACAAGAGGTTAATAATGAGATAAATCTAAGATTCTAGACATTTTATGTAGGTATGCAAAGCAATTTTGGATCCGAGTTTTTAATTAGCGATGATGATAGTAATAATAAAGGAGATTTGCAGTTAACCGTTTGGTGTCACATATTGGATGCCATCAAAGTAGAAAAAATACCCTTGGTAAACACATTTGTATTGGTTATTTGAATCCAAAACTTATCAGTTCAAAATGGAAAGATTCAAACACTAATACAATCAAATTAAACTTCGTCCCGTCGTACCACCCAGTGGCTGTTCGGACTCAGTAGTGGAATGAATAACACGACGGCATTCGAAGCAAATGGTGCTGGGTTTGAGTCCCGGGGTGGACATCAAATCTAGGACTCAGGTATAGCCAACTGAGAAATCTCAAGTGGGATGAAACGCGCGTCTTGAATTCCTAGCTAGCCACTATCCATCTCTGTTAAAAATGCTTGATAAAGACAGCTGTTAAATTATTCTTGTTCCAAAGAGTGATGAACAGATGCAGCCGAATTCAAAAGACTTCCAAACGGTAACCCTACTATTGTTTAAACACAAATTTCACTCAAAATCTGTCAGTTAGTCAAATAACACAGTTATTAAGCAAAAACATAAGCCCCTACGTTTTAATTCTGGGAAATGGATAGGACATTCTAAAGATTTAAGTCCTAAGAATACGTACAAAACTTGGAACTTAAGATGAGTGTTTTCATTGTGCTACTATAAAATATCTACGATCTCAAAGCGGTTAAAGTGAAAATTACTTTGCTGCTTATGTATATAAATGACAATTGTGATATGAATATAACAGGTAAATTCCTATTTGAAAGGGGTCAAATAAAATATTATGACTTACCTCAAATTCTTTCCAAGCTTCAAGTAATCGAACGCGTTGCTCTTTATCTTCTGTGTATTTTAGAGATTTATTCGCTTCTTGATAGACTTTACGTGAACGTTCTATTGCTTTGTTGATTTCGTTTTCGTTATGTTCATGTATCAGTGTTTCTTTGTCCAGTTCAACATCTTTCAAATGTTCTAAATCTTCATCATCTAGATCAGCGGCTGTGAGTTTGTTCAACGCACATAATTCAAAGTTTGCAAGACTTAACCAAACCTATTAATAAGAACCAACTAGTATTTAGTCATCACTGACAGTCAAATTATTATGTACGATAAAACATAATGCAAAGATAGTGTTGATAATTTACAATTATTCTTTAATGATCTTACTAGAATTGACCACTCAGTTTCTTCTGGATAAAATAACCAGCACTCTTACTTTACGGTATCGCATACCAATAATAGAACCTACTACAGTCAGTCAGCTACAACGTAGAACATCAGTCAACGTACGTACATCAGTCCAAGTTGCCATACCACATCCACACAGAGATGCAATTGTCCATTCGAATCCCATAATGGTAGATGTAGTAGAAGTATGATCAGGAATGGAGAAGACTACGGTTCGAACAAATTACTCAAGAAGGATAATCCAGTGAAGTAAATTTAAAAAGAAAAACATCGTGAGGAATTCAGATGAGAACTTCAGAGAAAACAAAGGAAGCATGCACCTGCGTCATTGTGAATGATTTAATCTAAAATTTTCTAAACATCGGTTAACATTGTCTCACGGACCCCGACCAAGTAGTTTACATCTACCAACATGGCTCAATCCATTAGTCAGCGACTTCATGGATTTGTGTTATGTCTTGGTCTGACCGACTCTAGGTTTCTTCCAACCTCTTTCACCACAAAACATAGCTCGTCGAGGCAGTCGGTAGTTAGGCATACACAACACATGTCTCAACCACCTCAACTGATGAAGTTTCACTGCTCCATCTACTGATCTGCCATTCTTAGCTCGTACCCGATTCCTAACAACAGCATTGCTTATACGATAGTCCCAAGATAAACGAGCAATGCTTAGAAAATACCTGTGATTGAATACCAGTAATCTGCGTATGTCCTCCACTCTTACTGGCCGTTTCGCAGCTATAAAGTAGGGTGGAGCGAACTGCAGCGCAGTACACTCGTCCTTTGGTTAGCAAACGGATATCTCGCATACGCCACAATTGACGCAAGTTGGCAAAAGCCAATCGAGCTTTCTGTGCTGAGATTTCGTCAGACACCAGGCCATCAGGACTGGTTACAGGATAAGTGAGGCGGTCAACTACTTCACTCCCTATCACCAGTTCAGGTGCCGATCCAAGACAATCCTGAATCAACATTTCGCATTTCGAGAGGGAGAAGCGCATCCCGAACATGCTTGCATTATTGCTTAAGGTGGGTCAGAGGACTCTTCATTTTGTCAGCGTCTTCGCCAACCAGACGTCGAAAGTGTCCTCTCTAAAAGCATGTCAATGAGAATGTTGAATAAGAATGGACGAAGTAGACAGCCTGACGAACACCACTCGAGGTAATCAATGCTGGTAAAAGTTAGCCGACCAGTAGTGTTCGAGTAGAGAGCTTGTATAAGGTTAATGTACTTCTTTGGTATTCCTTTTCCATGACGGACACTGCCACAAAACGTCATGATAAACAGAGTCAAATGCCAGGTCCAGAAAGACAACTATTGTCGGACGCCTATATGTGTCTGTATTCCAGGACCTGACGAAGTGCGAATACCTGGTCTATACTGCCACGTTTAGGTCTGAAACCGGTCTAGTTTTCTGCAGTCTGCTCTTCACGAGCTGTAGTTAGACGTCGAAGTATTATTGAAGCTAATATTTTGGACAGTATATTGGTAAGTCTGATTCCTTTATGATTGTCACGAGAGGACTTTTCTATTCTTATAGATGGGGACACTCAGTGATTGAAACCAGTCGAATGGGATTACGTCCAGTTCCCAGATTCTACCTATGATCTCAGTCGATTTAACTACTAAGACTGGACCATCATCCTTAAAAATCTCAAGGGTAATCTGTCAGGGCCGGTCGCTCTCCCCCGCCTTATATTGCCCATAGCCTTCCGAACCGTATTATGAATCGGAGGACTTACATCAACTTGCCATTTAGGTTGACTGGAAATCGTGGGGAACGGAAATGTGACTTAAGGCCAGTTTAGCTAATTCCAAACGTTTTCTGTCCATCGATCCACTCTTTTGGATTGAGATTGTTAACAGTCGGTTTCCTTGATAAGTCAGAATAGCTGTCTACTGTTACCTATTGCCGCTGCCTTTTCCAGCTCTCTTGCTTTCTCTACCCACCGCTGTTTGTGATCATTGCGTACACTTCATATTGGCCTGCACCTAAGCTGACTCCGCCCCTCGTCGTGTTTGGGGACAGATGGAATGAGTTTCCGAGCATATATCAGTTTGGTTGATGCTAGTGATATCCACTGTTCCTCCCTAATCTTACGGTTTACCTTAATGGCAGATACCACTTCTGTTTCCTCAGCCTTTTGGATATCATTCCAAGGTGCTTCGGGATGGGCATCATTTACATGACTGCCTAACTGTTTTTCTAGCTGCCCCTGAAATATATCTTAGCTATACTATCATTAAGTAGAACCCTGAGAGGTTTTCTTGCGGCATCTTTCCTACGTCCAGTAAGACGCAGAAAAATACGCACCCTTACTAAAATATGATCTGAATCTAAATATATGCTCCAGAATGAGTGGTAGTCTTCTATCGAGCCTCTCCACAGATGGGTGATAGCAATATGGTCTAGTTGCGTCCAGCGTGGTGACAACTTTGGGGGTCACCATGTCAGCAGATGTATTCCCTTACGCTTGGAATCGGTATTCGTCAGAAATAGGCGGTTATCTGAGTACAGTTGTAGCAGACGGTCACCATTATCTGTCCCTTCGGCCGTGACACCATAAGCTTCTCTCAGGTATCTTTCCTTTTCACTTAGTCTACCTACTTAGGCATTAAAGCCTCCGATCGCTATTACTACATCAGATCACTTAGCTTTTAGAAGGTGGGAAAACTTTCTTTAAAATCCATCTTTTATCTCATCCGAGATGCAGTTAGTGGGAGCGTAGACAGAAACAACGAAGAGGCAATGGCGAGTGCCCCTGTCTTTCCGAGTCTTTACTGTTCCATTTGGTCGGATCTAGTCCAAGAGAGTTAGTTCTGGCCTAGGATTTAATATTATACCTGCACTAGCGAGGCCACGGGAAGCAGCAGGATGGCTTCCAGATACACGGAGAGTGAACCGAGTTGGTCCTTTATGTGGACAAGACTAAGTCAAACTAGTGATTCTACTCAGATCCTGTATGCGCGCTTCGAAGATGCAGCATACATCGATGATGCGAGATTCTGAAGTCCTAGCTAGGGAAGGTTGTTATCCTATTTGGCACATGGTTCGAACATTAAAAACCCTAACATGTAGCTTAGAGCTTGTTTTCATGAGACCAGGAATAACGTTTCATGTAGTCGAAAAGCTTGCATCAACGGCGCCAGGTGATAGAGGTATACGAGGACGGTTAGTCGTGAAGATAAGAGAGTTATTAAGAGATGTAGGAATTATTTGAATGTTTTGGAAGTGTTAACTTGGTTCTTTAAAAGGCCTTCCTACCATAGACGGAAATCTGTGGTGTAACATGGGGCATGACATTTTTAGGGTCGACCTTTTCCAACCCATTTTATCGCTGCAGATGCTAGTTGTCCGAGAGAAACACCTTACTGCAGTCATACTCCTCTACATTCAGTAGTACCACGTCACCCTCAGACCTAGAGTTGCTGCTTTTTAATCTTACCGTTCTCCAATCGACCTAACTAGCATGGTAAAACCTAAAGGAACATGTCCTGGCCAATATAGCTGTTGTTTGGAAATACGAACTTGTAAGATGATTCGGAGTTTTTCAGTGACCTAGATTCTGTTGACATAAGCACTTACTTAAGCTCTGGAAAAATAATGTTAGTCGAAAGGGAGACTAAGCACTTTAAACTTATGAACTACTGAATAAGTGAGAGATATGAAATACAACTTCCAAACCCGAACATTTTAAAACTAAGCATGAACGCTTGGTTCGTAAAACCAATTCGATTAGAGATGGAGCGTTTTTACGTATGAACAATCCATTTTTTTCCTTATTTGACGAATCCTTTCGTAAACGGGATTGCTGGTTTCGCCAGTCTCGAATTCAGTCAGTCAGTCAGTTGCAACGTGGAACTTCGTACGTATCTACATAAGTTCATGTTGACATACCACATTAGCACAGAGATGCAAATGTCAAATCGAATCCCATAGTGTTAAAGATAGTAGAGGTATTAATGGTAATGAAGAAGGCTAGGGTTTGAAGATATTATTCAAGAAGTATAATTCAGTGAGATAAGGTTAGAAAGACAAAAGCAGAGGTGCTGACGAATCCAGAAGATTAGGATTTGAGAGAGCTCAAAGAATGGATGCACTTGCGCCATTGCAAACGATTTTGAGCTATATAGAATTACCGGTTCATTTATGAGTGACGATCGTTAACCTAGTGAGTTATGTTTTAATATTCAGTATAGTGGAGTATAACAAGTCCTAAGATGTGAAATAAGTGGTATCGGCTAGGGCTGGACAAATGTTTTGGATTTTACCATCACCGATTAGTATTATCCACTTGTTGGTTTCATCTTGTAGTTAGTCTTAATAAAGCTACTAAGCTGAATACAGTACCTCCTTTTGCTGACCAATGTCTAAAATCTACAACCTATTAAACGCAAAACATAAATAACTTTAATAATGACATTACTTCATCTCATAAGCCAACCAATAAAAACAATTACCTTGACGTGTTTTGTTCGATTTAGCAGTCTTCGATAAAGTGACCGAGCACGTTCCCAATCATACTGTTCAATCTCGAAGTCAATATAGGCTTTCCATAATAACTCTGGCATATCCAGCAATGTTCTGTTAATCGCTAATTCATAAATACCTCGTGCGCGATCTGTCTCACCCAGAAGACTTTCCAATTCAGCATACTTGTAGGTCATTGATGTATGAAAAAGTTAAAATTTATTAGTATTCGTTTGATTGTGTAACACCAAGTAAAATATAAAAAGGTCAACGGATAAAGTAGTTGAATATCATTTACAAACTGATTGCGTACACTGAATATTTTTATATTTCAGACAACTTATTTTAGAGAAATGGTGGAGAAAATGAACTTCGGGTCTTGCAGAATACAATCAAACACTTTTTCCTTAGAAATACAACAGTAATCATGGCATTCAGATTTTACACCTAATATTTTTATGTTTATGATTTTCGTTTTCTGGCTGATAAAGTTTATAGTTCAGGATTATCGAAGTACCAGTTCTTGTTATTGATGATGACACTACAAAGTATACGCCGTCAAGTGTGGTTAACATTCTAACTACATTAAGGCCACCTAATTACGACAAGACTTTACTATCCCTAAATATATTATATCTTAGGTCTACAACAAAATATCATGTAGTGTAATTTGTGTACCGCACGGTTTGTTTTGCCAAATTTAAAATACTGCACATCAACATATGGTATTACAGTAAGCGATTATTATTCGAAACGAAAGTTAAAGCTTTCAGTCTAACAACTCCACCCTCCAAAGAGCTATTCACAATGGAATCCAACGTTAATTATTCTGTGATTATTCTTTTCTGGTTAGCATTTTAAATTATAAAATCCAAAGGAAAATAGGCAGACCAAGGAACATACTGAGCCCAAGATTGGAGACAAACATGAAAAAATAAGTAGTAATTAGGTAGAACTGGGAAGGAAGACCCAGAACAGAATGGGTTGGAGAATGTTGGTCAGTAGCCTGTGTCCCATTAGGAGTAACAAGAGTGAGTAAGCATTCATTTGCCTAAAAATATTTTGTTTATCATTCATCATAAGTACCACCAGCGTAGACACTATTTACATTCAATAGGAGGTCAAGAACATGTTTATTATACAAACCTTGTGAACATAAAGTCTTTAAGAAAACACTATTTTTCTACTTTAAAATAACCCACAAGGAATTCTACCTATCATTTATGAAACTTTATTTTGTGGACCATTACTACCCTTGTAAATCTAACGTTGATATATGTCAGTTAGGTATAATTCAAATGTGATACAGATAGGAGCAGCATAAAAGCGAAATGACATACCCTCATCCATGTAGTACAGTTTTCCGGAGAAAATTCCAAGAATTTTTCATATAATTTACGACATCTATCGAATTCTCTCAACTGGATCTCCAATTCTATGTAACCACGGAATAGTTTATCTTTTGGACACATACCTAAGGCGGTACCCTAAAAAATTAGTCAAGAAAAATTCCATTCGAATATATTCACATCCATGTTTCATTGTCAATAAAAAGATACAGAATTTCAAGTAACAGATTTATTTATAATTAATGCTATGTGAAACAGAAACTGAGTCGTATAGAATCACAATTAAGCATTACGTTAGTGCTTTTTCAGAAGGCCCATCGATTGGTAGCTAGAATTAGGTCAGAATCAAAGTATTAATTTGACTACTCTATAACATAAACTATTCTCTTCTAAAGACCAGTTTTAGCATGAATGTTTTAATTCCAGGTTTTATTGGAAGAAAAAATATGACCAAATGCAAAACATAAAAAAGGTGATGACAATAATGCTGTAATAGTAATTACTTTTCAGGAAAGGGGGTAAGTTATTTAGTATTTTTGTATATCTACTTTACACGATGTATATTTATTTAAGCGAATTTACCAACCCTTATAGTAGTATAAACTGTTTAAAAAAGGCTATCTAAAAAGTAGTATAAAAATTATTATTTGTTTTACTAAATAAATAAGTGGATTCATAACAAATGAGGGAATAACCAACATTCTAGTTCTCTTAATATATCTCTCAGAGCTTTAGATGCAAGAAGTTCTACTCACCGGTACCTTATCTAAATGTACTGATTACCAAGTACAGAAAGGCATAATCAATAAGCAGTAAGTATATTATGAGTTTTTAATACCTTTAATCGCCAACCTCCATCCAAAACCGAATGGGTCTACAAAAATCGAAGTATTTGTATGACACGGTGTAGAATGAGAACAAGGTGGACCTGGTAACAATATTTAAGCTCGAATGTATATACGCATACATAACTCGAAACAGAACTACTGTACTACACAGCTTTTAAGAGATGAGGCTACATACTGTATGCAACTTCGCTACTGAATGGAGGTGTAAAGTTTCAAAGCAAACTAGCAATGCAAGAACTGACCAGTAGTTTTCTAGCATCTGTTAATTTCTTTTGACGAATTTCGAACTTTGCTGCATATAACCAAATTTTAGCAAATGTGAAACGTCTGTGTGGTATTAACTTCAAGCAAAATCTGTAGACTTGACGTGTTCGTTCTATATCGATTGCTGATAGTTCCTCATATAGTGCATAATTCAACCAAAGATAAATATACCGTCGCCAATATCGTTTTTCCTATAAAAAGAAAACAAATAAAACTCCGTAACCTTGTAGAATTTAGAGGGATGACAACGTTACTGTGGCTCATTTACTAAGTCCCAGTCTACATACTCGGTTCTAAGCCATATTTTGTTCGAATATTAGTAATACGATTAAACTGACTACATTGAAGTGGTTCCAACTTCTTAACAGTGGGGAAAAGTTGAATCCTTCAATCACTGAGACACTGCTCTATCAAGCAGTTAAACTCTCTAAGGTGAGCAACATGTACCGTAATATGAAGGTATGTATTTCATTGCTATGAACTTAAAGATATTAAGTGAAAAGCGAATGCTTTACTGTTTGTAGTTGATTACCAACTACACTTGCGTAAAACAACAGAAGAAATAGATGAAAATATTTAGAATAAGACTGTGAGAACAAGGTGGAAAAAGAATATATATTTCAGGTTTTGAATCGATTTATGGTCTTTTTCAGCTTTGTAATTAATCGAAATATATTTAAGTAATATTAAATAAGATACATAAAAAATTAATGGGCTCACTAGAACTTTGAAATCAAAACAATCCCTGAATTATCATTTTTTACAAACAGTCATAATGCATTATCCTTACTAACTTTATCTTACAAAATTTTTGAACACTGATAGTTGAATGAATAGTTTCCTAAACTTACTTTGATCGGTGGTACATTTGCAATAGCACGTTCATAAATTTCTCGTGTTTGTTCGATTGAACCCTCTTCTTCCATCAAACGAACATAATCGAACCATACATCATAATTATGAGGGTTTGCTTGGACTTCCTAAAGTTACAAGTTGATAAGTTGTCAAATAAAAAGATATAATGTATATAAATATATAGTCACTTATTAAGTTAAAAAAGTATAGCAACTAATGAAACTTAAATTTTCTTACTGTTTTCTGCTGCTTTTGAAGATAGCAGGGAATTTGTAGTCTGTTGTTGCATATTTTGAGCGGTTTCGATTGGTAAATATTTTAAATACTTTGAGAACGTGAAGACATGAAGATTAACCTGTATATGTTTTATCGTGGTTTAAATCTCCAATTAATAACCATTCGTCTTAATAAATCCAACCAAATGAACGTGTGATATTGCGTCAGTACTGATTGAAAGCAGAGTGGATATCGACAAAATAAGTGATAAGTTTAATAGCTCAAAAATTTTGCTTGATCGGCCTATGAATTTCATTGTTTATGATATTTTATGAATATTTCGAACAACCAGCTCATAAACAGCACAATCTATTTCAGACTTGCATCATAATAAAGTAGATTTTATATCGGAAAACACAAACGGAAATAGGCCATGCATTTCAAAACCTACTTCTTCATATTGGAACTTTCGTTTGCTTAGAATAACATCTTCAATCGCTAAACGATCACCATACTTTTTCTCATGAAGTGTATAAGCCTTGTAAATCTCTTGACAATCATCCTTTGGTAAATTTTCGAGTGCATACTTATAAATAACGCGTGCACGTTCATACTAAAGATAAATTTGTGAACAAAAAGTGAGGTAAATACTTAAATTTAGTGTTACGGTTTGACGTTAAGTGAAATAGCACAGATGAAAAGAAAAACAAGGACACGACATACGATATTGTGAACCCAGTATGGACAATCGTCAGTGACCTAAACCTTATCCTTTATCTATGACTTACGACGCATGGAAATGTTTCACCACTATAGTTTTGGCAGATATCTTTTTTCAAAATGTTTCACTATATTAATCATTAGAAACTTACCTGTAACTCGCAACTAATACTTAGATATTATAACTTATTAACATAAATTCTGTTATGAAATATGACGGGGCGGGAATTGAAAAAAGCGCTCTCACCAACGACACTAGCCGGGGGGAAATACACCTCGTAATCAGATCTTAATCCCACTAACACTTGAGCGGCATAGGAAGTATGTATCTTGCAACTGTTATATATAAAGGGACTTAAACTAAAAGTATTTTTGTAGCTAACATTTTATATATGTATATACAAGTATCTTCAATCAAGAAGTAAAAAAGATCAAACATGAACATAATGGTGGAATTCGAGACTCGGACTCAATGCACTGTGAAAAGCGATCCAATTACGATATATCCGAAGCTTGTAACTTTTCAGAGATCATTAAAAGCCCTAGTCACTGAAGGCATATATATTTAACGAAATACGCTCAAACAAAACATTTACATTTCAAAACGTTATTGTTTGATCTCAGTACTTCATTCAAAGAGAACCTACAACATGATACATTAAGATTTTCATGTATGTATATGGAATTAAAATAGTAATATGAAAATGTTACCTCTTTTTGACGTTCTTCAAACCGAGCAAAATCAATCAGCAAACGAGCCTGAGGATTGTCTGTCCCAAAAAACTCTACTGCTCTCTCGAATACCAGACGAGCTGAGTTGATAAAACCATTTCTTTCCTCAAATTTTGAATACTTAATCCAGTTTTTTGGTTCAGGATGAACTAGAACAAGTGCATGGTAGTTAAGGAGCTGCCCTTAATTACTAAAGTAACTAACACTTTTTCTATAATCTATGAGAGTTAATAAAACAGGCCTATAGTGTCTAAAAAGACACTAAGATATACTGAATTAAAAAGGATATATCTTTCATAAACTAAACGTGCTCTATCCATCTCTTTATATCGAAGTTCGAAATTAATATAAGCATGCCAAGCCTGTTCTTCTGGCTGCCATTCCATCCACCTCTCGAATATCTGTCGGGCACCAGCAACATTACCAAGCGTCTCCTCCATATACGTATATTTGTACCAGAACTGATTAGCTCGAGGCATTAAAGTAACAGCCCGATCCCACAAGTTTCGGGCATGATTCACCTGTTTATGGCGCATTTCCATCTCGGCATACTTAAGCCAAAGACCCACATTTCGGTAATCCACATCCAAAGCACGCTCAAAAACTGAACGAGCCCTGAAAGTTAAGAATTATAAATGAAGATATGTAACGAAACATATGGACTCGGAAAGAATATTCCAATAGAGAGCAAACCCAAAATCCGAAGGTTATTGATACTGCTCGGATGATGTAACTTACTTATTAATGTGTCCTACAATCTCATTTTGAAAACAATAATTTATACTGTCGATGATTTGCCAACAACTGCACAGTTTATGTTTAGTCTAGCCGTCATTTGGAGATGACTTTTTGAATTCGTGAAATATATCGACGTGTGCTATGTGTATTTTAAATGGTTACTATTATGGCTGGTTAACCATCATCTGATGCACAGAGGCATAAACAGTTTATCTGTACATACACCAATCCTCGTTAAACAAAAATGGTTCATTGCATAGTATATATATATATATATATATATATATATATATATATATATATATATATATATATAAATATATGGCGTCTAAGTAATAACGATAACTTTGAAACAGCTCCTAACAGATAAAACTAAGACAAAACTTTTCCGAAGGTTGATATAGTTACGGGTCTTTGCTACTGCCATAAATTTCGACCAAGAATACACAGCGAATGACTGTATATTTTGGTTCTTATAAGTCCATTATCAAAAACAAGATATACGTATATCAGACCAAAGGCTTTGATGTATTAGAGTTACGTTTTGGTTGAACTTGAAGAAAAACTTCTACTTTATCATCAAACGGTTTACCAAGGAATTTCTTCTCATATAATGATCAAAATAGGCATTAAACACTCAGATGAATTAAATTGAATGTATGGTCACAAATATGTTTGACAGTTTTCATCACTCAAACCTAAGACTCAGACGTCAATTATGGCTGCATAGAATGGATGCATTAACATGCATATCAGAATATGAACGAAACAAACTACGCATACTCGTTACTTATGCTAGGTATTAAAAGGCGAAAGGGTTAATGGTTAAAAAACTAGTTGAGATGTAACAAAAGTTCTTATCTTAAATTGGGTCGCGCGAAGTTTGTTAAAAGCAATGAGGAAATCAACCAACCTTTGAAGTTCACCCTGAGTTTCCTCAAACTTTGCATACTTAATCCAATTTTGCATAGCCAATCTGTTCTTCCTGATGTTATCTTCATAATCCTTCCTTTTACGCAGTTGAAAATCTCTTAATTCAGAGAGACTAGTAATTTTCTGTTGTGGAGCCTTCGGCGTGACTTCAAGTTCTCTTTCTTTAGCTTCTCGTAGAAGCTGTTCAGCTGTTATTTGCACAGCAGCTGGCATTTTATTTTTTACCTATATATATGTATATATATAACGGACATCATAACCCACCCTGGCGATTTTTGCTTTCTTATTTTTAGGGACGCCTGAGTCCTCAACAGCTCTTTTGTCTGTTATCATCTTGTTTGTGAATTAGTGAGTCAGGAAAACACGAACTGTAACGCACAACTCAATAATACCTCTAGTCAGCAAACTGGTTCCGATATTCAATACCGTTTTTACGAGCCAATATAAACCAATTGATTGCTTTGCGCTTGATTTTTGTTCTTTCTGTACGGTTAAAGGTATTTGGAGGTGTTCAATTGATGGTGACCTATTCACTCGACCGTAGTCAGTGTAGTCAGTTGACAGATTTTTGTGAATTTGTATGTTCCATGATTTTGAATGAGTACGTTCGTTTCAGAGCAGTAGAAGCTTTATGGCTACTTAAGAAGTTGATGTGCTGTAGGCGATAGTTTACACACTGGACTATAATCATACTGGCAATTTTAGTAGTTATTTGTGTTTCGCATGCCCTGTGATCAAGGTGAGTACGTTCATCTCAGAATAGTTGGGTTTCTTAAAAAAATAGATATCACATTATCATGCTAGAGGTCGTTTGATTACAACGATGTTGGAGTGCATGTGCAGGGTATTTTCCTTAGTCACATCGCTCAGTCAATTCCACGTCTCTTTACTTGGTCTGCAAGGTTTGCGTCTATTTCAAAGAGAGGATAGTGACAGTGCTTTGTTCCTCAACTTGAGGCCGAGCGAATGTTAAAACCGTGTGGTGGATAATTCTGGAGTGAATGTGCCAAGTTATCTTTACCCAAATGGAAAGTCACATTTGCCATCGTCGGTCCCCAAAATATTTGGATAGCAGGACAGGATCACTGGTAAGTCAAAAAAACAGTGAAACTAATAATTATCAACATGAAACTTACAAATTCATGGGTATTGATAAAGTTTTGTCCAGGACAGAAGGGTGGGTTGTAGTCAGACAGTTTACAGTTAATATATTACGTTCATTAAGTATAAGAGTCAGTTTCTGATAGCACATATACACCATGTCACTGACAGGAACAGTTTGATACAGCCACATTTTCAATAGGTGAGTACAAATAGAGGTGCACAGTTGGTTCCTTGGGTGGTTTGCTTAGATTAGTAGTCAGTTTGTTTGGAAAGGTCAGTTGAAAAGCGCTTGATACAAGCAGTAACCCAGACGTGCATAGGGTGCATGTTGCCTTGAGGCACCACAGACTGTCCACTGTGAATAGGGTTCTAAATGGTTGAATTGAAAGAGAGAGAAAAAAACCAGCGACGAAGCAATTGTATATATATAACCAAAGCACTACTTAACCTGTCATTATGAAGTAGACAATACAATGGTAGTTCAAGATAAAATTCATACTGACCACTAAAATTAAAGTAAACTATAGCAATGTAACCCACAAATGTAGGAGTACAGCAATGAAGAAGGAAGATTTGTGCAGTATCAAGTGGACAGAAGAGAAATTAAAGTAGGAAGTTGGAGGTCTGTACGTCGAAACCGAAAGTTTAGTAGAAAGAGTAAAGTTTGTAAAAAAACATTAATCATTATATTTTTCAACTATCTTACTTTTTTATCGAATTCCAACCTCTAAATCATACTGTAAGTGCCTGACTAATCATGCTGCGGGTGTCTTGACAGAATAGCAACCTCAGCATAGTTTTGGAAACATGAGTCTTAGAAGTAGCAAGCGTATAAGAGCAACCTCAATATCACTGATCAGTGGCCTCATCGATCGAACAGAGCCGAAAGTGAACAAAATGTTCTGCCTCACAGACTTGGGTGGTTTAAAGTCATCGCCCACACTCTCCCTCCTTTCGTGTTGTTAGGTCCAGTGAGTAACCTTTCTATTTCAAATGAAAATTAAAGAGAATTATATTCAACTAGAAGAATGCTACTTCAGAGGATAAGATACAGCTCTGAATTCGGAATAGTTTGAAGATTTGCAGAGCTAATAATGTGGAGTCAGATTGCGAGTGAGTTCAAGCGTACAGATGAATCAGTGCAACTGAGAGCTTCATTAAGAAGCTATACAAACTGATGTAGCCCACCTGGCATGTGACTTTTTGAGGTAAGCTTATTCCATATCAGCGCATAGTTAGTGAGGGAGAAGTTTTTCCGAGTTTTCGAATTATACTTCTCAAGTTTGACCATCGATAATTTATCTCGAAGGTTATCCTGTGTTGATGTTTCGGGAGCCCTGGCAAACGACTCACGAGGAGGGAATATCGCCCTCAACTGCTGAGAATAGCAAAACAACTCTGTTGGGGGATTGAAAGGGTAAGATACATGTTTTGGAGGAGGGACCTAAGAGTTATCAAAGGCGTTTAGACTTGGGTGGTGTTGGGGACATTAGATGGAGGATACCCAAGCAGGCTAGGGTTACGGGTTTTCTCAGGAACATTTGGCATTCTAGTCTTTTCGAGAGCGATTAAGTGGATAGTAGGCTTTGGTTTAGAAATGGAGAGGTGCCTAAGGTTGGAGTTTAGGGAGGTATTTGTGGTGACTTCCCTCAGTAGGAGTAGCAGTGGGCTGGCTTTGTTGCTGTGAGCAGGTGGTTAGAGTATGTAGAAAGTTTCCTGAGAGAGTTTCCGTTAGGTCGAACCATTGGGTCTTCCCTGTTATATTTAGGACAGTGTTGGTGCATTATAGAGGTGCAACTGATTTGCGAGTTAGAGGTAGATGGGCATTGGAACTAAGGATAAGTTGCAGCTCTTTTATCTATGGAACAGATCTTTAGACTAGTAGTCTCAATGGATCTGTTCTAGGTTTTTGAAAGGCTAGGGGTATGTATTGTAGAGTTATTGTAATGGCTGTGATCGTAACTCTTACTAGTGCACAATCTGTTGTGCTTAGGTCATTGGTGATTCGACGTGGTATTGTAGTTCTGTAACGGAGAATTCCAATATTCCTAAATAGCGGAATGTGTTTATGTAGTGACTGGTTCTTAATCGAGTGATTAGCTTCCATGATACCACTAAATTGAAATAGAATGGAACAGGAAAATTCATTCTGAACTTTATGTAGCCTGCGTGCTACGCACCACGAGTGGGACAGTTCACACTCATTTGAGAGTGTTTTTTGAACAGACTGTAGGCTTGGCCTGCCAGGTATGTTATACACAACGGCATATATGTCCAGCTAATCAGCCAAAACGCTTTCCTACATCGCATCAAGCTAACATTTGAATCTGAGACCAAGTAAAATCGGAAAGCTTTGCCAGTCGTTATCCTCAGTCTTTAGTGTTTCAGGTGCTACGTTACTTTTACTTTGTCTCACAGCGCTAACTGACAAGTCTTGTTAATGACAAATGACGTATCATAAACGTAAGTGCTCATACTATGGTTTATTTAGCTGCATATTTGACTTAACCTATACTGGATGAATCGGATGCATTATTTCGACAATGCGGTCATAAATTGCAAAATCATGGGTTTGGGTGATGTAACATGAACTTGTAGTACTGCTCAGGTACTGCAGCAATACAGAAAAAGTGAGTCCAGCCATCATTTTGGAATAACATCACTTTGATGGACAGTGGATCCCTTAATTATGTAACACACGGCTTTTTTATTTCGAAAACAAGTCATTATTCTTGAATCTCTGATCGAAGTGGGTTGTCTCAGGTAAAGCCCATCAATAATAGTTTTTATAATTTTAAGCTGACGTGACTGACGTGACTCTTGTAACGTAGTTATTTGAGTATAAATATGTTATCATTATTATTTTGCTATTATTCAAGAAAGGGACAATATATCTATCTCTAACTCCTTCCGTTTTATCAGCAGCTTAACTCACTGTTGAGTTGGCCACACTAGGTTTACTCCTGAGAAGCTGGCCCAACAATTCAGTCATTGACTTTGAACTTAAAAGTTAGTCAAATCAAGTGTTCGTATAGCTGTATTTCATGTTGGCTGTCGTATTTTATTGAAAATGATGGTTTTGAGGCTATTTTCCACAATATTATGACTTTCCATCTGTTCTCAAGAGTCTTTTTCAGACTAAGAGAAGTCTTTATACTTCAAAGACCTTAGTTTTTATGTCTAAAGGGGCTCATAATGTGTTATTTATACAGAAGTGTTGTGAATAAAATATTCCAGGTTACTTCAAAAAAATGCAACTATGTATAGAAAATCTAATAATTTTCTTTGAAGTGTTAACATTTTTTAGGTGGTATCGATATTTTAGGACAGCTCATTTGTAGGGTATTATACTGATGTTAACAAATTATCTCCTATATCCACTGCAGTTTGCATCTGAAAGACAAACCTTCTGGGTTTTAATCACTTAATACATACTTGTCATAAATACACATTCATAAACACTAAATATAAGCCCCCAGCAGTTTGACAACTAGATTATTTGGGTTCTTAATTTATGAATACATTAGATTGAACATATAAATTGAGTGACAGTAATTCTTACATTTCGTAACCGAACATTCAATCTATAATGTCTCTCCTTACGTTGATTGATTTTAATATTAGCCCAGTTAATACTCAACAAGCTATACCCTTATATATGTGTTCCTAATCACACTGAGTTTTGAATTATGACCAAAAACTCTAGTAAAAGAGAAATATCACCACTTAAAACGTCTAAATCTGTAAAATCTATGCCCGATGAATCTGTAATTGGAGGATTCACACCCCACCTTGTAAACTCTGCACCACTTATCCACAAATTTCGCTATATTTAGCCAAGACTTTGAATAACAACCCTTCCATCTCTGTAGAATTTATTTCGCCGGCGGCTGTCCTAATCGCGTCCAATAGAAACACACCGGTACGATACTCCTAGATCCAGGTCCCAGCCAAACCAAAAGGCCAAAAATTCTAGGAGAAAACGTCTCTATATTGTTATAAAATGGAAATACAGAGGCTTACGATGTTTTTGTTTCTTCCAGGACTAAATTACTCCGTAGAGTATCTATTACAATAGCTAGTAAGTGACACTAAGTCCAGCAGCCACCGCGTCTATCCAAAAATGTGGCGGTAGCCATATTATATCAAATTTAAACAATATATGTACAATTCAGAAGCAAACACAAAAACTTCAATATAAGTACAAAATATGGAAAGAATAACAACAT